CTTTTAGCGGAAAAATTTCAAATTATTTATTCACCGTTAGAAAATTTGAATTCCAAAAAAACGTTTAATGATAAATCCTTGCTGTATAAGCATTCATTGTAATTAGTTGCTAATTGCATTAAAATTAATGATCTTGTAATCTTCTAATGATCTGTAAATGAACGCAAAATAATTAGATAATCAAATACTGATCGCTTACACAAAAATGCGCTTAAGTCCCTCGATCAATAACACGAGGACTTCTGTAATTTTTTTCAGTAATACACGAGATATCTCTTGGATTAAGTCTTATTATTAATAGCTTAAATCTGATCTGGTTAAAATGTACGCGATCAAGTCAAAATTGGGTATTTCAGCAAGATTTAATTAGGAAGTGGGTCAGTAACTTAAAGTGTAACAGGAGAAATAGGAACGAGAGCAACAAGATTACTCACAAATTGCCATAAATGGATTATTGTCAGAACGGACCTGAAAAAGTTTATGTCACGCCCACAGAAGCTTGAAACGAAAGCCAGCAATTATTTGAAACCTAGATTTGAAAATTATAGGTTAATCGTCAATAAATGCAGCAACAATGCAATTAAATGAAAGAAACTATGGATAACTGTCCTGTTTATCATCAAAACGATCAAATCTTTATGAAATATCAATTTATAAACTTTCTGGAATCAAAACAATTCCATTTAATCTGCATTGCATTAAATCTGCATTAAAATATTCACTACTTTGCCATTGCCATTATCATCAAATATTCACAATTCATGTTAGAGATTTGAGATCCATAAAAAATCTCTCATTTCCATATAATGTTCATTCAGTTCCTATATATTTTTTTCACGATGACTAAACTTGTGCATTAAAACTTATTTATTTATAAATTTTTTTTTATTATTTTGAATATTTTTTTCCTAAATTGAGAAAGTTTAAATTGACATATCTGCATAGAGTAAAAACATAAATAAGACGATACAGTTTCTGAGAGATAGAGTGGAAAAAAGTATGGCATGATGAAGAAGAAAGCAGTGCCATGGGAGAAATATTATAAATTTTATCGAATGATGAAGACACAACGATGATGCAAAAAGAAGATAATCTGCAATATGTTCGAAAGGATGTATTCAAAGCAGGGGGAGAACAATATTATGGGAAATTATTCGCCATAATCAAAATTTTTTCACCAGTTTTCCACCAAAATTTAACAAATTCTCGCCATATTTTTGATAGAAAAAATGTAAAAAATTTCCCCATCATGTTGTTACCCCCCTGATTCAAAGAAAATTATTTATACATAAGAAAAATATTTTCATCTCTTTTTAACTTGTTTATGAATACATTGACATACGTTTAAAAAAATATTTCTTGTATCATTCTTCACTGAAGTATGAAGGAAGAGGAAATTTTCATTGCATTATTTTAATGTTTGCAGATGACACAATTTTCATCATATGCATAATAAATAAATTATGACAAGGGGAAGAGGGAGCTGAGACAAAAATTATTTTTTATCAAGCTCTTAATATGCTTCTTTTTTATACTACAACTAAGTCTTCAGACGAAAAATCAATTCAAGGAAAGAATAAATCATCATCATCATGCATGAAGGATCTTTAAGATTTTATTGTTGCATTTATGTTTTGGCACTATTTATCATTTTGTTATTCTAGGCTTATGCACTTTGGATCAGCATGAACTTAATATTGAGCTTCTCGAGATATGTTATGTACTGCATAGACTTACAGCTATGCCAGAGACTGGTTAGACTGGTCTTCGTGCTACTAGAGTGCATCCCTGAGCAAGCTAGTTCAAAGCCTATTGCATTGTCATGTGAATAATCAAGTTACAATCGAGAGCCTGTCAACAGTCACAGGTGATAGATCTGCCATAAGCAATGAAAAGGCATCAGGTAAATGACAGATCGCAACTCTGCTAAGGAATCACTGAGAGATAGAATTTTGGTGGGAATCGAACCCACGTCTTCACAAATGAAGGTTTCAAATGTTTAATTTGCTTCTTAACCACTCGACTACGTAGACTTCACTCTTAATCTGGCAGATTAGCCTATATATGGCTCGAAATTACAGCTCCTAGGTAGACATCATTTTCAAAAATACCCCAAAGATCTTCAACAAAAAAATGAATCTCTCAATGAACTAAATTTCAGAGATCGAAGCCGATTTTTTCGGCTTAACTCAATTTTTGATTTTTTTGATAGAAAAAAGCCATTTGACACCCATTTTAAGTATTTAAATTGAACTTTACATGCTTTACTATGATTCTGTGAAATATTTTTTCAGCATGTAGCAATAGTGAGCTCACAATTTCAAGTTAAAGAATGTTAAGCCGAAATTTAAGCCGATCGGCTTAAAATCGGCTGAATTGAAATTCAGAGCTTACTATAGCTACATGCTGAAAAAATATTTCGCAGAATCATAGTAGAGCATGTAAAGTTCAATTTAAATACTTAAAATGGGTGTTAAATGGCTTTTTTCTATCAAAATAATCAAAAATTGAGTTAAGCCGAAAAAATCGGCTTCGATCTCTGCTAAATTTGCATAAGATCCGTACTAAATGCAATCAATTTAAATTCAACATAGCAATAAACCTCATTTCTATCTTTATTTTATTGCTTAAAAAATATCCAGGTTATATCTCATTTCAAGTACTGCATATTTGTCATGTGCAATGCATTGATTTTAATCTTATTATTTTTAATGATGCTGTTAAACTTTTCTTCCTCTATTTATCGTTACTCACAAGTATTTGTTGCACGAAAAATAAATAAGAAAGTTTTTTTTTTGAAAATTATCGTAAAAGTAAAGAATTTTCTACTTCTTATTCCCCCACGATTCAACATAATTTTTGCTAGTTGAGGGAATTTATAGTAAATCGATAACATGAAATTGCATTCTTTTGCTCGTTCTCACATGTTAAGTAAGAGGAAGAATTATTTTTGCTCATGAAATCAATGAGAAAAGTTTTGCATAATATTAGCAGAAAGTTTGTTACTTTTACAGAGTATGTAAAGTACATGTTATGTTGGTTCAGGGGTTTCAAGTTGTTGACTTTAAAGTAAATAATGTTTAATTTTGTTAAAAAGAGGAAGGTCCAATTAGGAGTCGATTTAACGGCTTAGCCTGCCATTTTCTTGAACGGACTGTAGGGAGTAGGGATCGAAAAATCGAAAAGAGTCCAGCTGATCAGCTCATCGATTCAAAATTTAATACTGGGGGTCTTCGATTTGCTCCAAAAAAATCCTATTCAAATCAAGGGTTTGGTACTGATTAAATGATCAAAAATGATCAAAAAAGATCAAAAAAATTGATCAAAAATGATCAAAATTGATCAAAAATGATCAAAATTGATCAAAAATGATCAAAATGTAATTCTTCAGTTCCACACCCTTGATTCAAATCGAATCTACTCAAATCGAGGACCCATGGTATTTGACATTATTGACCTCCATTTTCTGAATCATAACCACAATAATGATGCTCTTAGCTGATCTTAGCTTACAAGAGTAAACTAGTGGAAGACTAGCTATCATTATATGGGCATAAGTACTTAACCCGATAATCACAAGTCAGTTAATCGAATAGAAATCCGGCATCAAGCATGCTTGACTCTGGCATGGAGCTGGACTCAAATCAAATCCAGCAACATGTCAGAGTTACTGCAGTTTGGTGTTAGATTTAAATTCGATTAACCGACTTGTAAGATTTGGGTAAAAAACATCCGATATTAAAATAATAACATTTTCTCTAAAACAACACTGATTCCAAAAACTTGTATCCTTACAACCCCTGACAATGTTCTTTACCATAGAACAATTTATAAGAGCAGTCACACGTCCATTGATTGTAATGATTCTCCTACTATAATTTATTTATAGTCTATCATAGAATTTTATGATTATGGATGTTATATAGACATTTAATTTTCCAAAGTTAAGTTCCAAGTATCAGTTATTATGCGACAAAGTAATCTATTTATGTTTATAATATTGAAAAACAGAAAGAATTCAGCAATTTGTAGCAACGACAATAAAAATTGATTGCTGCATAAAAAGATATGGACAAACTTTTTTTGAAAACTGAGGACTTTCTTGGTCAAAATTTCAGATTTTTTCACACAACCTAGTTTCAATTTGTGTACGCAAGATGGCATAAAGTATCTAGATAGACGTAGATATACATTATATGATAAAGGCTTTAATTTGAACCAACACATGAACCCAGGAAGGTCTGGACTCCCTAGAAATGAGCAGCAGTTCAAAACTTTAAGGAAGGTCCTGACCCTCTTGACTAGACCTTGCATGAATCACTACTGATGCCATTTAAAAGATAGACAAAGCAAGTTAAGAATATGCTGTTAAAATGAAGCTATTAGACTAATTTTCATACTTTATACCTCCCAGACAGCTTGGCATCTTGAGATCCGAAAACTTTTCTTTTTGGACACTCAAGTTCTTTGCATTTTATGAACTGAATTAGTCACGCGTCTTTCATGCTCCATAAAGACCAAGATCAAATAACATTAAATACTATAAATATTAGAAAAAACGTAAAGCAGCCAAAAACTTTCTTATTTTTTTTTTCATCCATAAATTCTCATGCTCTAATTTATTTCTTTCTATTTCTTCTTTCAGATTCCATAAATTTTGTGCGTCTGCGACATTAAATCTTTCAAAACAATTTCTGTAGCCAATATTTTACTGAAACTTGGGCGAGAAAAGAGAAAGTTATGAGATGCTCATCATCAGCGATAAATTGAAAGTTATGATGAATGAAATGAGAAATTATTGATGACATTATTTTGAACTTTTAGGGAGATTGATGGCATGCTATAAATATGACTTTTATTTGTTATGTCTGAATTATTAAACACTAAATGTTATATTCATTTAAAATGTGTATCTGATTTCATTTTGTCACGAAACTTTTGCACCAGATGCGACTTACGTGTCAGTTTAGGTTTAAAATTTCATTTGAAAATACTTAAAAATGTTAAAAGTGCTGCAGAATTTTTGTAGTGACACAAATCTTCATGGCTTTAAATATATCATCCAGCCATTACGTAACAAAGTTGAAAGAATTTTCTGGTCTGTTTCAATTTTTATATCCTTCATCGTGACTTTGATCCTAATCATCAAGTTCATAATTGAAAGTCAAGCAAATCCGATAATAATATTCATAGATCAAAATGTTATAAATGTTCAGGATTTGGATTTTCCAGCAGTTTCGATATGTCCAGGTCTAATTTATAGAATCAAAACTAATGTTACAATCAATTATGACTTAATGAAATGGAAGCTAAGATTTAAAAATTTTGGAATTCAAAATTTAACATCCAATGAGCTTAAATTGATGCAAATCACAAGTTTAGTTGCTGATGATCAGTTTATGTCAAGAAATTTCCCAAATCTATCAATTCCAACTGATGATTTTATTGAAAAGCTTGAAGATTTTCTGGACATCTTTGGGCTACCATTTTATAAAACATCTGTGGTTCCGTATAATTTTGTTGCTAATTGGACGGAAAGGTATCCCGTGTTTATGACTAGAACTTTATGGAAAACTGGACATTGTCAAACTTTTAATTTTCCAAGTTCGTCGCGAATCTTTAATATGGAAAGGTGAGCATGGAAGCTAATTTTCAATCCAGCTGTAAACATATGAAATGTCAATTTTTCCATTGTATTCCAGAATATCCGAAGATTTCAACTTCATGAGCGAAAAAATGCTCGGAACAAGTTTTTTCAGGAACGATGTCTACAACTTAAGACTCCCATATCCAGTCAAGGCACATCCACCAGGCAGAGGACTTTTTATAGGATTTAATCTTGACAGATTTGAAGATGGAATTCAATTCTTTAACGTCCTTGAGTATGTTGTGCCTAAAAGAGATTACAATGGCATTAAAATATATGTTCATGGACCTTATGAAGTTATTTCGGAACACTCAATAGTTCGGCATGCAAAAGAGAAATCCTTCATTAAATTTTCGATTATTCCGAAAGTCTCAAAAATCGATGATTCTATGAAGAATGTCAAACTTCAAGAGTAAGACATTTAATGCTGTTTTTAATTTTTGTAAGTTCTTAACCATTTATTGTATAATTCAAGCCGACAATGTTACATGAAAAATGAGCGACAATTGAAATATTTTATTGGATACAGCAAAATCAATTGTGAGCATGAATGCCTGGCTAATTTAACATTAGCAAACTGTGGATGTGTTCGATTTTACATGGTTAGGAACAAGCAGACTAGAATATGTGGCATTATTGATGAGAACTGCTTTCTCAACGTAGAAATTAAGTTTCGGACTTCAAAGAGTTTTTGTGGATGTTATGATTCATGTGAAGCAGTCAAGTATGATGTTCAGACTGTGTAAGGACTTGAAAAAGGCTTTAAGTTATATTTCTTAAAGTTTGATTTCTTTAAGTTGTATTTCTTATTGCTGGCAGTAACTGAATGAGGGTTTGATAGGTTTTGGGTTTATCAAAATATTTTATTTAATTATTTTAATTTTGAATGCCATTTGTAAGTGTCCTATTTGTTCACAGGTACGATACACATAAGAAAAACAATTACTGGGTGAGTCTGAACTTTAAAATTTTCTAGTTTATTCCTACAATTAAAGTTCTTCCTTAAACGTTATAAGCTACCAGGCAAATTTGTACAAAATATTGAAATCAAAATAGAATTTGGTGTAAATGAGGTGCTTGCAATAAGCAGAAAGAAAGTTCATACAATTGTTGACATGCTGTCGCTTGTTGGAGGATTTTTTGGACTTTTTGCTGGATTCTCTTTTTTATCTGTTGGCGAAATTATCAAACATTTCATCATTTATCCAGTGATCAGATTAAGAACAAGAAGATCCACAAAAGTTCAACCAGTAACCACCAAAAAAATCCAAAAATCACAAAACAAAATCAAATGCTACTTATGGACTTTTTTAAAGATGTCTACAATCCATAGTTTCAATCACATTGCAAAATCTAGCAAAAATAGGTTTGAACAGTTGGTTTGGGCAGTTTTGTTTGTCATATCTATGTCCTTTGTCTGCATATTAGTTCGAGAAGTAGATCTTAAACGTAGATCAAGTGAAATTGTGATGAATTTAGAAGGAATACCAACAAAAGTTGAAGACGTAATGACTTATTAAGATTTAAACTTGTTCAATCTTGTTGAATATTCAAACTTTGATTGCAGATTCCTTTTCCAGCCTTTACTTTAGTTGAAAACATTAATGATGATGTGAAAAGGCGTGATTCTCAATATTTTACAAACAGAAAAGAAGGATCAGCCAAACATATTGTTAGAATCAAAAGACTAGTTATCGATGACAATCCTACGATTGAGTAAGTGATGAGTTCAGATGAATTAAATATACAACCAAAAGCTATATCCAACATAGAGCTTCCAGAAATTGATGTTATAATATATTAATTCATGCCACTGAAGCAAGTCACAAATCAAACTAAAATATCAAATTTACTTAATTTTCATTAGCAAACAAGTCTTTTATACACTTTGCGGGAAAGTCTTGTCAGGCATTGTTGCAGCATTTCCATTCAACTACACATCAAACTCAGAGTTTGTGGATTTTTTACGAGACTATACTCATCAAGAGCCACCTTGGTTTGTTTATAAAAATGCTAAATGGAATGCAGCTGTTCAGCCACCATTTGCTGAAATTTTAACAGGCATTGGAATGGGCCACACCTTCAATTTGATAGAAAAGTCTAAATTGTTATATGAAAACAGAATTTCTAAAGATTTTTTGTACAATTATGACACAAATAATAGCATTGATTATCCTTGGAAAACATCTGCAGACAATAACAAAGGCTTCAACATACAATTCAGAACAAACATTGTGTTTATTGGATGCTATAATCATGATTCATTTATTATTCATCCACCAAATGAGCTACCGATTAGTGCTGAAGTCATAAGAATTGAAGATTGGGCTGAAACTGAAGTATTAATCACTCCAACAATAATCAAAACTGATGAAGGCATGAAAGCATTTGATGTTGATACGAGGAAATGCTATTTTGATGATGAGAGGCAGTTGAAGTACTTTAAAATTTACACACAGAAAAATTGTGAACTGGAATGTTTAGCTGAAATTAGTAAGTTATTGCATAGATGACTATTGTTGAGCCTATATAAGCATATCATCTAAGTTTTTAACATCCCCAATTCTTTTAATATTTCAGTCTTTATGAAATGCGGTTGCGTACCATTCAATTCAATTAGAAACAGTTCGACAAAAGTTTGCAATTATGTTACTTTTGACATTTGTGCTGCATTTCTTCAAGGCTTTTCAGATTTTCAAGAATACGACTATTTTTATGAAATGCATGGACTTTGTCGTTGCTTGCCGTTGTGCAACTATGTGACATATTCATACGAAGCATTTACAAAAGAATTTAATGCGTAAGTACTTGCTGTGCATCGTATCTTGTGAAATTCTTAAAGAACTTGATGAAATGTAAAGGAACAGATGATTATTAATTGTTAAAGCTTGTTATTAAATTTCAGAATAGAAAACATATCAATATCAATAAGATGGAAAGACACTGAGTATTATGCATTAATTAGGTACGAACAGTTCAAGATTGTCGACTTTCTTTCATATGTTGGTGGAATTTTGGGACTTTTTGCTGGCATTTCTGCACTTTCTGTTGTTGAAAGTTTTTACTTTTTCACATTGAGGTTGATCACTGATTTGATTAGATATTATCGGCATTAAATGTGTTTGAGTTTTAATCAGAGATTCAATTTTATGTCACGAAACGTTTTCAATAAAATCAAATGGCTTATTAAATAAATGTTTCAGTTCTGATTTGAAATTTTACAGTAAAATGAAAAAAGTGCAGCAGGATTTTTGTAATAACACAAATCTTCATGGCTTCATTTACATCGTTTCAGCCATCACGCCAAAAAATTGAATGAATCTTCTGGTCAGTTTCGATTCTCGCATCCTTCATTTTAACATTGATTCTAATCATCAAGTTCATAATAGAAAGTTAAGCCAATCCGATAGTAATCTACACCGAACAGAATGTGATAAATGTAGAAGATATCAACTTTCCAGCAGTTTCTGTATGTCCTGATGTAATTTTAAAAGCTGGACGAAAAAATACTTTAGACTACGAAGAAATAAAGATGAAGCTTAATAATCAAACGATGGAAATTGACAAACTCACAGACAATGAGTTAAAGATGATTCAAATTGCAAGCTTAATTGCCAACGATCGTTTTATGTCTTCAAACTTTCCAAATTTGCCAATTCCAACTGATGATTTTGTTGAAAAGCTTGGCAAATTTGAGGAATTATTTGATGAACCTCCATTTAAAAAAATGTTGGTTCCATATAATTTTGTTGCGAACTGGACTTACAAGTATCCAGTTTTTATGACACAAAATTTATGGAAGAAAGGATTTTGTCATACATTCAATTTTCCAAATTCTTCTGAAATTTTCAGGATCGATGAGTAAGTATTTTGGCTGTAAGCCTTAGCAGGAACCAGCTGTATAACAATGCTCCTCATTTTGTCCGTTTAATAGAATCTATCAAGACTTTAACTACACAAAAGTTCAAATGTTGGGATATCCAGTGAAAGCACATCCACCAGACAAAGGACTTTATATCGGTTTCAATGAATCGCAGTTTCCAGATTATCAACCAGTTTATATTTTCAATCATGTTGTTCCAAAACGAGAATATGATGGAATTAAAATATACGTTCATGATCCATATGAAGTTGTATCTGATAATGCATTGGTTCGACATGCAAAAGAAAGGTCAAGCTCTAAATACTCTGTAGTACCGAAGGTTACAATTGTGGATGATTCAATGGCAGAATTTGATATTAATGAGTAAGATCAGTATGATTTTTAACAAGGTGGATTCAATAACTACATGGTCCACAAATAAAGATTATTGGATCCAAAATTGACAAGCAGCATACCTCAGAGACTATTCAGATTTCTTACATTGCCTTTTGAGATATTTTGAAGATCCGACTGATGTTTGATTCTTAAACTTGATACTTTTAGCCGCTTATGTTACTTGAAAAATGAACGACAACTAGAGTTTTTCTTAACGTACAACAAAGGAAATTGCGAACATGAATGCTTGGCAAATCAAACATTGGAAGTTTGTGGATGTGTTCAGTTTTATATGATCAGAAATAAGGGAACTAGAATTTGTGGCATAATTGATGAAAGCTGTTTCAGAAAAGTCGAAGATGAATTTTCAATGATAAAAAGTGAATGCAGATGCTACGATTTGTGTGAAAATGTGAAATATGACTTGACAATTGAGTAAGTAGGAAGAAAATCTTTAGATTTTTAATTTATTCAATTTCTCTTTATCAGCTTTGCAACCACAAAGAAGATGAAATATTTTGTATGTATTTTAAGAATTCAAATGATTCTTTAGAATCTAATGAATATAAATGAGTTCATTAAGTTCATTAATTTCAGATCCCAGGAAGATTAGTTCACAATATTGAAGTAAAAATAGAATTTGGAGTGAAGGAAATTTTGGCAACAAGCAAAAAGAAAGGACACACAATAGTCGACATGCTTTCACTTATTGGAGGATTTTTCAAACTTTTTGCTGGATTCTCTTTTCTTTCAGCTGGTGAAATCATCAAATATCTAGTATTTGTACCATTTTCAATGTTAAAGACAAAGCAATCCACAAGAGTCACACAATTAAAGCATAAGATTGAAAAAGTAAAGCATTTGAGGAGTCTTTGTAAAACATCTTCAGTTTGTAAGTTAATAATAGCTGCTAAGATCCTAACCAGAAGATCGAGAAAAATCAACCCAAAGAACATCCAAAACTCTGAGAATCAAATTCAAAAGTATTTGACGCATTTCTTTGAAAATTCTTCGATTCACAGCTTTAGTCACATTGGAAACTCCAAAAGAAGTCATATTGAGAGGTAGTTTTGAGTCTTTCATGACAAAATTCTTAAATTTTTCATTAAACCTCAAATTTCAGAAGTATTTGGTCAATTCTGTTCTCAACTTCAATGGTAATTTCCTTCATTCTAGTACGTGAGGTATATTTGAAGCTGAAATCGAGTGAGGTTGTGATGAGCCTCGAAGGAGTTCCAACTAAAGTGGAAGATTTAATTATTATTTAATAGTGAAGTTAATAAGCATCCTATCAAGGAAGAGGTTTTGAAATGAATTTTTGGACTCAACAACTTTCCCTTGGCTTCATCTTTGCCATCTTCTGCTTTATTCATGATTATTGTCTTCAATTCTTTTAGCTCCTATTTCCTGCTTTCACCTTAGTTGCTGATATCAATGATGCTATAATTAAACGAAGAATAAACTATTTTAATGACATTGCTGAAGGTTCCAAGAAAAAATATGGTAGAATCAGAAGGTCTTATACCATTGAAGATATAACAATTGAGCAAGAAATTCTTAAAATTTTTATCTTAACAACAAATCATATTTTTGATCTTTTCAAATTTCTTAATAGTGACCAAGTTTTTGATACGATGTGTGGTAAAACGATGTCAGGTACAGTAAGGCAGTTCGCATACAACTATTCGACATCATCGGAATATGTAGATTTTATTGCGAGACTATACTCATTTGGAACCTCCATGAATTGTACATAAAACAGCAAAATGGAATGAAATTATTGACACACCGTTTACTGAAACTTTAACAAATATTGGAATTGGACATACTTTTAATTTGATTGATAAATCGAAGCTCTTGCATGATGATAAGTAATGGATTTAAATTTTTATAACTTCTTTTAGAATCTCTAAAGACTTTCTGTATACTTACAACACTAGTAAGCCTATAACATATCCATGGAAAACTTCTGCAATCTTGAAATATCTTTTAGTAGCTATGTTACTTATTCATATGAAGCGTTTTCATTTGAATTCAATAGGTAAGGAACCGTTCACAAACTATTTCTAGCATTCAAGAGCGTAGCCAATAAGGAATTTTATTTCAAGCCTTGATGAGCAACTGATTAAAATATGAGAAATCATATCCCCGAATGGCACAAGTCAGTTTATCGATTAGAAATTCGTGTGTGACTCTCGGATTTAAACCGAAGCTAGAGGCTTGGCGCTGGATTTTTATTCGATTAACCTACTTGTGCTATGCACTTTTGGTTTGATTCTTTCTATTTGTTAAGTCACTGTTAACATTTGAAATTCCTTTTAGCATGCAAAACATGTCCATAGCAATAAAGTGGAATGACAACGAATATTATGCACTAATTCGTTATCAGCAGTTTAAAGTTGTCGACTTTATCCCGAACATACAATGAGCATGCTCAGAGCACATTATTTGTGAGCCTATTAGCCTTTGTGAGAATGTGCTCATTTTCATACATTTCAGTGATGCGCTTACGGTACCTTCTTGAGCATGCTCAGTGAGCACATTCCTGTGTGACATGTATTAAGCTCATTGAGTAAACTCATGAGCACACTTAAATAAGAAGGTAACATGTCACATGCAACATTTTTCTCATGAAACATTTTTATTGAATATACTCATGAACATTCTCAAAAAGTACATACTTGTAAATATTCTCAAAGAATATATGCTTAATGAGTATATTTATGAGTATATACTCATCTGAGCACACTCATGAGTGCACTCAAGTGAAGTTGCAAAATTCAAAAAATTAATTAAGCTAAATTTGAGTATTATAGGTAAGCTGAAATTAAGTACTGTTCCGTTTATTTCTGTGAATAATTTTGAAAGAGTTAGAATTTATTAATATTTTATCTCAAATACTTAGAATGAAACATATAAATCTGGTCACCCATCCTTGTTGAAATATCTTCTGCGTTGCTTAACTTCTGTCATCTCACACTTTTCCTTGGAGCTATTGTCTGTAAATATATAATAATTTATATATGGCATAACACATACTTAAATTATTATATTTTTACAGGCGAACTAAGTTCTTTGAAGTTTGGATCTTATTGAGCACCAATTTTAACGTTTTCGATTTACATTTTAAAAAAACGTCAGCTTCCTTAAAAAATCATTATTTTAACGTTTTCGATTTAGCTGACATTTTTTTTAAAAAAGGTACACAATTTGCTCTTGAATAAACTCAGTAAGTGCACTCATATGAGAATATAAAAAAAATTGTGTGACACAGAAGTGAGTTTGCTCATTATATGCTCATGAGGACATTCAGTAAGTGAACTCATATGAGTGAATTCACATGAGTATGTTCTTAATATTCTCAAGAGTATACTTATTGAATGCACTCACGTGAGCTTATAAAGTTTTTGTAAAAAAATAAAGTGAGTACATTCGTAATGAACTCCTGAGCATGCCCAGTTGAATGAGCTTGCATGAGTATAATTTTTGAGTAGACTCACTTATATGCTCACTTTTCTGAGCATGCTCTTTGTATGTTCGGGTTTCTGTCATATGTCGGTGGAATTTTGGGACTTTTTGCTGGCATCTCTGTACTGTCCATAATTGAGAGCCTGTATTTTTTCACATTGAGGTTAATCACAGATTTGTGGAGATATTTTCGTCAAAAAGTGACATAATTTATGACAATTTTTTTCGTCTCTCTCTCGTAAGCATTAACCACCCCACAAACAGCCACACAACACAAAAGTTTGTATTGTTGTTTATATTGTGGATAGATACACACTAACCCCTGGCACTGATGGCAAAAAAAAAACTTTTTCTATTTAATTTTCAGCTTAAAACGGGGCGATAATAAAAATAAATATTGTTGACTCAATGAAAAACTTTTTTTTTCAACTCCTTTTTTCATCATAGCTTATGTCTGCTGCTGCTTGTTGTTGCTGTATAATATATTTTTATATGTTTATTATGATGCGACATCGAGGTGGAAAATTGCGCAGTGTGAACGAGGAAACTATTTAAAACTATTTTATGGAATTAAAATATAATAAATTAGGCATGCAATGATAATTCTTCTGGCTGTTTATAGTCTTTTGTTTGTGTTATTTGAGCTAAACATGTTTGTGGACAAATAAAAAAGTTTTTTTTTGGATGGGGAAATGTGAATTTTTTCAGTGTTTATTTTTTACTTTTTAATCTCAAGCAGCACATGTGGCTTTTTGTAGGGGTACAGGTATGTGTGATACACTAACATTAAATAGTTGATAAAGTCAAGCCAGTTGGGAAGTTGACTTCTCAAAAGAAAGGTTTTATTCAAACCCTTTAAAATTTGCTAGGTGCTCATCTAAACATCTACATAAATCCTTAAAATTAATTCTTATCACTTTAGTCTTCAGATCTCAAATTCTCTTCAATCTCTTCTTCATCATCATCGTCATCGCTCTCATCAACTGACTCTTGTTTCCTCAAAGTCTTTCGTCCGCTGTTCCACAATTGATTAAAATCAATATCCAATTCCTTTGCTAATCTTTCAATTAAAGCTCGATCAATTATCTCACGAGTGCTCCAATCAGGCTGTCTATTAGCTAGTTCCTTTAATGATGCCAATGCTTCTTGATATTGTTTTACTGATATTTGAGACTCAATAAGCAGTCCAAGAATGTCTGAATGTCTTGTTGGTGTTTGCTCTTTTTGCATTAAAAGATTTTTGCATCCACCAATGACTGAGTAGTAATCCTTACGTTCAATCATGTCCTGCATTTCAATGACCTTCTTGGTGATCAAAATTGACTGCTGTAAAGTTTCCAATGCACTGTGATTTGATGAAATTTTTAATAAACATTTTGCAGCATCTTGAAGTGACTTTAGTGCCTTTACGTAATCTCTATAGTCATCAACCTCTGCTTGTGCTGCAACCACATGAAAATTTGCCAGTAAATCGTAGGCTTGTCCCTTTGTATAAAAAGTTGTGATGTTCTTAAGAATTTTCGGGTCATTTTGCCAATCAAGTGACTGTAGATAATTTCCAGCCATAATATAAATTTCCTTTTGACGCGACATGCTGGCAAAAAAGACAATCTTCTCAGTGTCTCCTGACTTTAATAGACTTTTCATTGCTCTAATTTTATCACCAGCTTGTGTGAATTTTTTCGTTGCCAAATGATAGTCGCCTTGCTCTTGCAATAAGCTTCCAATTTTTATTAAAATTTCATTCTTTAAATCGTCATCGATTTCGTCACTAGCTTGCGGTGTCAAAACTTCAGCAAGATTCTCAGTCATTGGTACGGCGTGCTTGAAACAAACATTTAAGGCATTGTCAAATTGTCTTGCACTAGCGAGAAGCATGACTGCCTTTTGAAAGAGATTGATACTTTGAAAGAATTCAGCACATCTCTCGACTAATTCCGGTTCGGATTTTTCATTCAATTCCGATGCAATGACTTGCAGAATGTCTGGCTGTTGAGATGAAAATGCAAGTTCAATTGCTTTGTGGATGAATCCAGAACGATGATAAAGTTCAACTGCTCGTTTATAATCACCAACTTCCTCAAAATAAACAGCTGAATTTATTTTATCCTTTTTATTTGCCACAATTGCCACATTCCACAATTCATCTTGAAAGTCATTTTCCTTGCAAATTCTTATAGCATTTCCATACGTCTGTGCTTTCGTGTAGAACTGAATAGCATCATGAAATTTTCCAATGCTCTCATACTGTCTTGCCAAATGGTAACATGCAGATTTGTCTCCAGAACTACGCGCTACTGAGTCGGCTTTAGATATCTGTCCCAAAAAGCACAAAATCCTCACCTGACTAAAGTAATCCTCAGACTTTTGGTAAATCTTAAAAGCCGATTCCATGTCACCTGTGCTCTCAATATATTGAGCGTACCATTTTAACATTTCTGGATCTGTTGTGGATTGCATGTATTTTCGTAGAGCATTTGGATCTTCCATTAAAAGCTGAGTTATGTTGTGAACTGGATCGTTAGTCATTTGATACATTTTAAGAGACTCTGCTGTGTGACCATTTTCACTCAGCCAGTGGGCGTATTTCATTCGAGTATTTTTCAGATGAACGCGGTCGCTGTGTGGGAAATGAAAAGTGATAAAAAAAAAACGTTTAATGAATTGTTTTTCAAGGGAATTAAGCTTGTTGAATGGAACTATTATTAGCCTTGGATCATAATAATGCTGTGTGTAGGCTGGAATGTCGTAATAAGGAGATGACTATAGAATTTAACGCCACGCAGGATTTACTTTAAACTTAGAAAGATTGATTTTAGCTTAAGGGCTCATTCATGAATGACGTCTATCATTTAGAGGGAGGGGGGGGGGGGATTCTGAGTATCTCAAATGTTCATAGACATCTCAAGTGCACAACTCCTAAGCTTATTTTGAAAAATTATTAAAACCAATTCAGTGACCGCAAAAAGCCTCTGTCCCTTAATTTCCATCAAAAAACATAAAATGTCAATTAAACTTACTGTTCAGCGATTTTCAAAGCCTCTTCAAAGCGTCCACAATTTTGTAACAACTTGTTTAACAGATCAAACCGCCCACACTTTTTATAAAGATTCTCAGCTTCCTCAATCATACCCAATTCAATTGCCAAAACAGCTGTTTTTGCTTCCTCTTCCAATGACGGATCGTTTATTGCCTTCCGGATAGCTCTCACCGACCTTGCTTTCCTTAAGTGTCCGAGACAAATCTGTGCCACATCAAGACGTTTTGTTTGCACGCACATTTTTGCCAAGTTGTTCCAAATGGCATCAGATTTAAGTGATCTAATACAGGAAAATGCTTGGTCAAGATTCCCTTGGGCGACATTGAGACTAAAATCAAGAATCATTTTTCTTGTTGCCGCATCAATGTTTTCCAGTCCAATAAAATTTCTCAAGCATTTGTGCTCCATAACGCCTGTTTTGAGTGTTATTAAGTTTGGAGCACATAAGTTAATTAAATTTTCATTTGTTGTCAGGTCGATGACCTCAATTTCAAGAATTGAAGTGTTTGTTGGAAACATGATGTAGACTTGAGATTCAGCCATAGACACATTTGTGTCTGAACTCTTTTTGCTCGATTTTGTTATTAACTTTGCCTCACATGACACCAGACGTGGATCATCTGTGTCCCAACAAAATGAAATCGGCAATCTTGGCAATTGAACAAAGTCATAAAATATAACAGTGTCTGTCTCGAGTCGCCATACATACAACTTTCCATCAGGCACTAAATTATCATTTGCAATCGTAATTGCACAAAGTGTCCCGTCACAATTTGCTTTTGCTGCTATAATTTCACCAAAGCTGTCAAATAAATCATATGCACTTTTAGCAGGGATAATAAGTTTGAGCTCATGACGTGATATGTCATAAATTTTAATGAATCCATTCATAGTTGTTATTGTTAAATATTTATTTGTCAATTCCGCACCAAGAATCTTTCCATCATGCTCGGTAAATGAGTGCTCTTGTAGCTTCACGCCATTCAGTGACATCACAATCACCGACTGTTGATTAATGCAAATTACATTTTCATTGTAGATGAAAATTTGAAAAATCTCACAGGAGAAGCTCGAGAGGAATCGAGCAGTTAAATTATCACTCAACATCAAGTCATTGTTTGTTGTGATGTTGTCAATTTGATGTGATGTCTTTTGTATTTTATATAGCATCACGGTCTTTCCATTTGTTAGTATCAAGTGTAAGTCATTTAAACAGACATTTGTTATTGACACGTCACAATTGACAGTAAATTGTTGCTGAACATTTTGTTGTTGCTGTACGATGAGAATTTGATTTGATGCTCTTTGTATTGCCCATAATTCTCTTGTATGATAGCTCATCAGAGGCTGCTCTTTGAGTATGTAAACATTCGATACACAATTGACGACAATGCACGGATCAGCTCCAATATTTCCCCAAATACATTGTTTTATTGATCCTCGAACCTTTGAAATGTCGGTCAATTGCCATTCACTCTCAGCGTCTGACTTAAACAATGTCTTTTTCCAAATATAAATAGCTCCTTGATTTGTTGAGCCGCAAAGCTTTTGATTTTGTGTGCAGTAGCTGATGGCTGTAAAAATTTCTGAATGTGGACCTTTTGTCGTTGCTTTTGACAAGAATGTTGAGTGGTCTGTGGGGAGTAAGAAATTTTCACTTGTGTCAATATCCAATATTCGCACAGTCAGATCTCCAGTTATTATAGCCAGTGCATTTCCAGCCCACGAAATATTTCCATCATATCCAGAGATTTTACTCGACAACTTTACACGATCTAATTCTGTCAAATTTCCAGAGTTCTCAACTAAATAATGAGAAATTGTCATATCCTCCATCAAAGTCACAAGAGCTTCACGTTTTGGATGGAACAGAATTTGAATTATTGGAGATTCCGTACGTAAAACCTCAGTACACGTTCCTGATTGATTTACATAAAACAACACACCAGATTGTGAGCCAACATAAAAGCAATGATTATCCTTAACACCAGCATGTGATAAATTTCGTACAGCTGTCTTCGGACGCCATGTTGTGATAGTATCGAGTGCAACTTGGTCACCGGCAACTGCCAATTTCGCAAGATTCATTAATTCTGTAGTTGTTGAATTTTCAACAGTTCGACGGAATGTGATGTGCAGGAGTGGATCTCGAAGGTCGTGACTAAACATTGTTAAGAACTGCCCTTGATTGTCACATCTCCAGCCAGTCATTGTTCCATTCTGTGAATGCAAATTATTGTAATATTTCAAATAAAGACAAAGGAATGACAATAATAAAATAGAACTTACAGAATCAGCAGTAACAAGTCGTCCACCTTGCTCACTAAATTCAACGAGCATAACCGGAGATTTATGGTATCCAGAACCTTGAATTGACATAAATTCTCTTTTGCCGCTAATCCATACATGAATCTCACCATTCTCCCATCCAGAAATGAGCATTTGTTTTTGCGGATGAAAGCATAGCGACGTTGCTTGACTCACTTGATGGTTTGGATAGTGGATGTCTTTTAATGGTTCTCCCTGTTGATTTTTGAATGAAAGAATAAAAAATAGTTTTTAATTTTGTGAAGCAACTTTTGTTGTGGCAGGTCATGGAGCTGTGTTTTATGAGAGGAAATTATTTGTATGCAGCATAGAGAAACGGAGACAATTGAGAATATGGACTACCTGAATGAAATATTTTTAAACACCATTAATGCTGGTTCTTAGTGATCATGTTGAATGAACAGAAATAAATGTTGTGCCTAATGAACTGTGGTTTCCAAGAGATGTAAAGCATTATGTAGAAGAATCTGCCATTTCAAGACTAAAACCTCCGTGGTCGAGTAGTTTGTCAGCAACTTAATTTTGGAATGTCGTGGGTTCGATTCTCACTAGAACCCCATAATTCAATTATTAACATACACGGTTGTCAAATCGAAATTGACTCATACAATTCAATTTAAATAAAGCACCAGCAGGATTAAATACCCATATAAAGTAGAAAGTCAATTTAAATATCCTAAACATCATCATGACCAAAACTACCCCAAAAGCTACCAAATTGTCCATGAATGCCACTATCAACCACAAAAACTAATCAAATTTAAATCTCACCGATTCATCAAAAATTGTCACAGTTCCTCCTCGATTATCGCCATATCCAGCCACAGCAAATATTGACTCGAACGGATGGAAAACAACAATTGTGCTGACTGTGTCATTGTCAACAAATTGCACTTTTGTATCGAAAAATAGTGACATTTTAATATTATTTTTTATATTATTTAGTACGACAATAACATTTCGATATAATTGTGTTGTTTACACGGAACAGGTTGCTATGGGAACAACAGGTGAAAGAGGCAAGGGGATAGAAGTTTAGTGATCAGCGATCGACATATAATTTCTATGTTACTAGCCCTTTGGATGTTGAAAAATAAAATCATGTAAATTTTAAACTTTTATCTCCTATTAAATCCCTTCCTTTATCCTGAGCATTAATTCCTTTTATTTTATTCATGCTCAAAACTTTTTCATTTTAAAATTCATCGCACAAAAAAAAAACTATTAATATCAGATAATTTAATCTCTTCATTTTTTATCAACATTGAAGCTCATGCACAGTTCAGGAAATGTCAACTGACTGAAAAAAAATGTCCATTAAAAACTTTTTTTCTTCCTCACATTCAATTTTACTTTAAATTGATTTTTCAGTCTCGTCCTGGTCTCTTCGATATTATTTTAGTTCCTATACCGCTTTTTTTTTATCTTTTTGTGTTTATCTTCGTTCCTTCTATTTTCTATATGTGCCATACATGTAGACACATGAAATCAATGCAATTTGTCTTTTTCTCACTCTTGCATGGCTCTTGACTTTACGTCCTATATGCATCGATTGTAACGATGATGTTGAAAAACAAAATCCTTATCACATGTTAACAGAATTCTGCACACACATTCAGCAAGTCGAGGAGATAGAGCAAAAAAAAAGTTTTAGAGATGGCAAAAAAGCTGGAGGGCTTCAGTTTTGCTGCTCTTCCTATTTTTCTATGGCTGCTGTTGATGTTATGTAAGCTTTAAGACTTTCACTCTGCATTCGACAAGCATGAAATGTTTTGCAAGGCTTCTCGTGCTGTTTTCATATCAAAGAGCATAGAAACGAGGACAAGAAGTGAAAGATTTATAATCGAATGTAGAGTACAAGATTTACTTGCTTTTTCTGGCCTTAATAATTTTTACAGAGACGATTGTTGTGCTCATTTGAAAATTTTATTGATTAAATGAATAACGTCACAATATATTAAGATTCTTAAATAAATTAATCAAATATACACTTAATTCTACAGGAATAACCTACTACTACACCTACCCAAGGGTATACACTAGTGCAGTAATGGCTAACCCATGTGCCGCCTCACACTAGGTGCAGTAAAAAGTTTGGGATATCTCACGAACTGTATGCGGTTTTGTTCACGACAACACCGACACAGCGATCATGGGTTCGAGGCTCGTTAAACTCTTAATATTTGCGAATCACCCTAGCGCACTTCTGAATCACAATTGATCTGAATAGGTAAAGGTTTTTAGTACCACCACGTGTGCCATGGCACAAAAAAAGTTGGCATCACTGCATTAGTGTATACACCAGGTTAAGGTATGTACCGAGAAACCCACTCCAGGGGTGCTATGTGCCAAAGGTTCTAATAGAGCCCCTAAGAGTTTCTAAGGCTATCCGGGCATTCTTGGTAAGGAACAAAATTCGATGTCCTACAATATAGAGTGTGAGAAAATCATCTGAAACTAGGGTGCCCCGGGTAGCCCCAGAAAACAGTTTCAGAGCTTGTTGAATTTAAATAGAGCTCTTCAATTCAACTAAATCGTTCATCTCTAGTAAGAGTACATCTGCCTGATGCGTAAACGTCCAAATTAAGTTTAAATTCATTATAGCCACACCATCATATTAACACTCTACTCAATGGACGCTTAAAGACATTACAGCAAAGAAATCAACTAACGAGAAAATGAAGAAGAAAAAAATATCTAGAGCAGAGTTATAAGTAAGTGCCATTGGTAGATGAATCGAGTCGATGAACAGTCAAGAGCTTTAAGCTTCTCCTGGCAGTGACATTCTTGTGAAATATTAAATTCTGATTGAACTATAGGGGAATCACTCGATTCTATTTACACTAAGTCTTTTTCTTTTTTTTGTATGTGGTGGATTAAACAGCAATTTTTCTAGTTCTTCAGTTGAATTATTGCAGTTTGGTTCAAGGATTACCAGCATAGCTACTGAATCATTTGCAGTGTAGCATTTTTCTTACTTCACTAGAGGATTTAAGGTGCAAATTGCATTTTTAATGCCATCAACATCAATTTGCAGCCCTCATTGATCCACTTTAAAACTTTTCTGTCACTCAAACAGCTAGAAAAGGGAAAAGGAAGTGTTTGACGGTGAAAATTTAATTATTATTTTTACTTCTTTTTAAAATTGCAACTTTAACTCGATAGCTGTGACTATAAACAAACTTAATCTGTTTGAAGACGATTCCTTATAAATTACAACACGTCCGAGGACGATACTTGAAACATCGTTGGGTGAAAATTAAATTTAAATTCAATGGAAAACGATGAAAATGAGAGAAAATGAAGATAGTGCTATGGAAAATTAATTTTCCTTTTAAAAGGAATTTTTCCATTTAAATTTTTTATTCTTTCAATATTTTTTTTTTATTTTTCGAACGAGGTGCCGCTTCTTCTTTTAAACAAGCGAAATATTTTTTAATGGTTATTGAAAATTTATTGAAATCGCTGTCATTCGTAAGTGCTGCAGGTGCTGTTGTTGGAAAATCGTTTGGGTTATTTTATGCTGAATATAAAAATATGGTTTTGAATGTCTCGTAATGAAAAGAAAATTTCAAGTGGAATGAATTGAGATGATCGATAAGTTTTACATTAGTTGGAAATCAGGGGCGTAGCCAGGGGGGGGGAAGAATGAATATAGATTTAAGGATACAAAATAACGGTTTTTAAATTTTCTAAAATGGGACCCCCCCCCCCTCCCTTAAAAATTTTCTGGCTACGCCCCTGGTTGGTATGCAGGCATAGTAAAGTACAAAAGGAATAAAAATACTTCAAGTTTTGAAGCCACGCCATATCATGTTATGAACATTTCAGTGCCGAAAAAAGTCGATATGTTCGAATTTAATCGACATAAAGTTTAAATATTTTAAAAACGTTAAAAAAGTTGTCAATTTTAGGATTTTAAGCAATAATATTTAAGTTTTAGTAATTTTCTTGGATGCTTTTAACTTAACTAAGCTAAAAAAGAAGCTAAGGATAAGAATCGTTGGCCCAAACCTTGTTTTTGCAAAGAAATATTCATGAAAATTTAATGGTTTTTTGAAATTCAAACCAAAAAATAACGGTTTTTTCGAAATGTCCGTAGCATGTCCTATATTATTGTATGCGTTAATAAGTTGATTAAGTTTAATCATTTAAATTAGTATCTCTATACTCAGAGCTATAAGAGGTTCCATTCAAGAGGCTTCAGTACCTACCCTGTAAAATTGCAAAGCTAATCCATTTCACCATTTTTTAAAAGCATCTTTAAGACAAAGATGCACAAATTTTTACCTTAAAACTAAATAATTATTAAGAATTATTCTTTTGAGTCAAAAAAATTCCAGCACACTTGAGATTGACACCAAAACAATATTTCAATAATTCATGAGGAAAATCTCTTCAATTTTTCTTTGAAAAGAAAATTTAAATTTTTTTCTTTCTTTAAAACCTTTTCTTTTTTTGACGTGAGATAGCGTTTGAATGAAAAGTTTTCTTCTTTCCTTTCATTTCATTCCATCTCCAAAAAGGTGCCATTTATTTTACAAAAAGGGAGAAATAAAGTAAAGGAAGAAGGCAGTGACAATATTATGCATAAATTTAATACGACGAAAAAAAAGAATGAAAAACCTAATATAAATATTTTTATTTTTTATGGTTTTCAACTGTGATATGTGAATGTATGTTCTTACTTTATTTTATGGAGATGTTATATGAAAAATGCGCTAAGGAAATGTAAGTCATATCCGTAAAAAAATATGATGCTGATGTCAAAATTATTTTCATTCACATCGTTTTCTTCTTTTTCCTTCCTCATTTTTTTTTGTTGCTGTAACTAAAAGTGTGGAAATAGGGAGTCTGAAGGTGCAGGAATAGTCAATGAGTAGACTAATTCTAATGCATGATGCGTGGCACTGTGAAAACGTTTTGAGTTGAACTTGTTAAACCTATCCTATACCTATCCTATACCTATCCTATACCTATCCTATACCTTATCCTATACCTTATCCTATACCTTATCCTTTACCTTATCCTATACCTATCCTATACCTATCCTATACCTATCCTATACCTATCCTATACCTTATCCTTTACCTTATCCTAAACCTAATCCTATACCTATCCTATACCTATCCTATACCTATCCTATACCTATCCTATACCTTATCCTATACCTTATCCTATACCTATCATATTCGTATCCTATACCTATCTTATAGCTATCCTATACCTATCCTATACCTTATCCTATACCTTATCCTTTACCTTATCCTATACCTTATCCTGTACCTATTCTATACCTATCCCATACCTATCCTATACCAATCCTATACCTATCCTATACCTACCCTTTACCTCCCTCTACCTATCTTATACCTTACTAAAACATTAGAATCCCTAAAAACTCTCATGACTTTCCATTATGTCCTTCACCATATGCTCTAAAACAGGCAATGATGAAGCATAATTGGAATGAAATTTATTTTCATAAAAATATGCATATCCATAAAATAATAATCATAATAATAACAATAATAACATCAACATTTTTTCTGCGTACGGATGTGTCCCTTAAATGCATGATATTGCGTGTATTTTGACTGATTTATTTTCTCCAACAACAGCAGCAGCCACTTACTTTACATATTCATTTTTCGCTTTCTCTTTTTGATGGAAATTTGCGTTTAATATTCATCATTTTTATGATGGATATTGCCGACTTTTTATGATCACTTCTCCTCCTCCCCATTTTTTGTTGAGCATACGAAATTTTTATTTTCATTTAATATTATGAAAAATATGGAAAAGGAAGCAAGAAACTGTTCGGTTTTAGATAATGGAGAGTATGAAAGAGAGGCTTATGGATTGTACCGAGAAGCTGTAAAAATATTTTTCCATTTGCCAGAAAAAAAATAACAGATGACTTTCGTATCCATTAAAATGCATATAAATAAAAACTTTTTGCTTCCAATTCTTCCTTCTTGTTCTCATTTTTCTTACAACTTCTTTTTTTTTGTTCTGTTCCTTTAAGTTCAAAGCACAATAAATTAATTTAATTGAGGCGCTAGCTGAAAGTTTTCACTGCAACATAGCATGTAGTATGTGCACTGGCATGCTCAATAATGTGTTTAAAATTGCAGAATCACAATTAAATAATTGATTTTGCCCATGAGAGAGAATTGGAAACGAAATAAATGAGATGAAGAACAAAAGGGAAGAAGGATGAAATTGAATCGATTTCATTAATTGAGAAAGAATAAAAATTGGTAGTTCAGCTAAAAAGAAAGGAAATTTGAGATTGTGAGATGTGAAATTTATCTCGTAATGATTTAAAAAGAACGTTTAATTGGAAATTGTTGTTTTTTTGGGGATTTTGAGTCAGGAGGATTGGATCATTTAAGTGATGAGATTAATTTGTGCTTAGTTTTGCTGAATGGATTAAATTTTTAAGGTTTTTGATGAGTTTTGATGCTATCTGAAGTTAGCAATTGAATCGAATCAATTTAAATTGAACTTATTGAGATTAAGCTAGCTGTAGTTGATGAATCTAAGATAAGATCAGCTTTAATTGATTTAAATTGGATGATATTAGCTTTAGTTGATTTAACTACGATGAGATTAGCTTTAATTGATGAATCTAAGATAAGATCACCTTTAGTTGATTTAACTTGGATGATATTAGCTTTAGTTGATTTAACTACGACGAGATTAGCTTTACTTGATGAATCTAAGATAAGATCAACTTTAGTTGATTTAACTTGGATGATATTAGCTTTAGTTGATTTAACTACGATGAGATTAGCTTTACTTGATGAATCTAAGATAAGATCAACTTTAGTTGATTTAACTTGGATGATATTAGCTTTAGTTGATTTAACCACGATCAGATTAGCTAAACTTGATGAATCTAAGATAAGATCAACTTTAGTTGATTTAACTTGGATGATATTAGCTTTAGTTGATTTAATTACGATCAGATTAGCTAAACTTGATGAATCTAAGATAAGATCAGCTTTAGTTGATTTAACTTGGATGATATTAGCTTTAGTTGATTTAACTACGATCAGATTAGCTATACTTGATGAATCTAAGATAAGATCAACTTTAATTGATTTAACTTGGATGATATTAGATTTAGTTGATTTAACTAAGATGAATCTAGCTTTACTTGATGAATCTAAGATAAGATCAGCTTTAGTTGATCAAACAAGGTTAGAATTAGTTCAACTTTAACTTGAACTAGCTTGAACGAAATCAATTAAAAAATCCTCTTATTGGGACGAGATTAGTTCGAATTGAACAAAACATAGCTAAACTAATACAGAATTAGCAAAATGGAGCAAAACTTATTGAAAATAATAAAATAAATCAACAATAGGTCATAAAAACTAAGCTTATGCCACAAAAAAAACATAAATTTGATTAATGCCACACCAAAATTAATTACTAACAAACAACAAAGTATCAAGCACACGTTCACAATTTGTTTAGAAAATATTTCATTCCTAATTTCGCACATTTCATCATGAAAAAGTGCCAACACTTTAGCACTTAATCCCAGATTGCCTGTAAAGATTATATGGTTCATGCGACATTATCCTATATTGCCTATATTTACGTCATATTATTATTGAAATATTTCCATGTATTTATAAACTTCTTCATACAAGCTTTTCTGTATATATATACTTCCATCAATAAATTTCCATAATCCTTGTTAAGTATTCACAAGTGTGTTCATAGAAAAGTTGTTTTTCACTTCCACTGAAAAAGGTTCTCATCCCTCTTAACATGTAGCATGCACAGACAGTAAACAAGAGAAACAATAAAAATGTAATTTAACAAGTTAAAGAAATACATTCGTTGATTGTTTTATTTTCCTCTTTTCTTTAAATGCACAAAGGAATTGTAAAACAGGGAAAAAGGATTCAAGGTGATGGAACTGTTTGGTTTAAGTGATTTGTCATTTGTTTCGAATCTTCTGGATATCAATCAGAGTTTGAGTTTTTGGGTCTTTAATGCTTATACAAAATTAAGTGTATTTTGATAATACGTATGTAAATTTTGTAGTCTTTCTGTGCTTGAACAGTTTTTGGATGAGTAAGAGATTGTCTGAGGGCTATCTAAGCCTAGTTTAACTGACACTCAAACATTTTGTATGATTCAGACTACCGCCATTCCGAAAAAGGCCGTTATTTTTTGAAAAATGGACAAAAAAAAGTTGGTATGATTCAAAAAAAAGGACCGTTTGAATTCAAAAACAAAATTACAGTTAAAATCATGGAGAACCAAATCAGATTATTTATTTAAACTTTGATGCAAACAGCTCCTTTCGATTTTAAAAACGTTTCTGATGAGACAATTTCAATCTAAAATTTAAAAAATTCTTTAAAAAGTCTTCAAATATCAAAATGCAGTGATTAAAACTAGTTGAAATTTCTTTCACTGCTGCTTTAAAGGATGATTTAATTTGGGATGCGGAGTGGTTTCTATCAACTGAATCACATTGTCTATAAATAAATTCAATTTTGTAGCAAAATGAAAGAATGAGGTTTTAAAGGCATTCGAAATAATGCTTTTCCATCCTTTCGTTTGTTTTCACAATTAAAGACTGCGCACTTGCTCATTTTTGTATTTATTAATTACTTTTTTAAGTGATTTTATTGTTTAATATGTGTCAAGGAATTTATTTGTTTACATTATGCATAACGGAAAAAAAATATATAAACTATTTCGAAAACTTCGAAATTAATTTCGAAGTAATTTTGAGGTTTTCGAAAATGGAATGGCGGTAGTCTGGTATGATTAAGAATTCAACAATATCTGATGCATTTCGTGTGAGTCATAAGTTTGGTAACCCTTGTTTAAAACATGCCGGAAAAACCCTTATTTTTGGTTTGAATTTTAAAGAACCGTTAAATTTTCATGAATATTTCTTGCACAAACTTGCAAAAAATCATAATACGGACATTTCAGTGTCGAATTTTTTCGACATGTTTAAATTTAGTCGACCTTGAGTTTGAATTTTTTAAAACCGTTGAAAATTTGTCAATTTTAAGATTTTAAGCATTAATATTTAATTTCTATTATTTTTCTTGAATGATTTTAGCTAAACTTAGATAAACACGAAGCTAAGAATAAGAATCGTTTGCCCAAGTCTTGTTTTTGCCAGTATTTGCAAGAAATATTCATGAACATTTAACGGTTTTTTGAAATTCAAAGCAAAAAATAACGGATTTTTCGACGTGTCCGTAGCATGCAAAAAATAAGGTTTGGACAAACGATTCTGATTCTTAGCTTCTTGTTTAGCTCAGTTTAACTAATATCATCCAAGAAATTCACTAGAAATTTAAAATTAATGCTTTTTATCGTTTTTAAAATATTTAAACGCTAGGTCTTATTCGAACATGACAGGACTTATTCGAACATGTCGAATTTTTCGACACTGAAAAGTCCGTAGAAAGTTTTAAATATTATGATTTCTGTCTGTTCTACCAAAAGACCAAACAAAGTATCCAACAAAAGAGTTCCATCGCCTTGAATAAAAAATTCTAAACAATTTTTTTTTCTCTTTCAATTTTCCCATCAAAACTAAGAAAAAAAGTTCAGTACTTCCACATCCAATCTTGTCATCTCTCCGTCTCAAGTCTTTTCTATTCATTCAATTTGTAAACTTTATAAATATCATTATCATTCAAAATTGTATTTGCATAATTGACATCAGTTCCAGTTCCAAGTTTCTCATATTTTGTGATTTTTATAAGATACAGTGTGAGAAGTATACAAGCAGCCGCCTGCATGATAAGAATGATTGTCAAATAGCTTCCGATAAAAAATTGTGATATTCCTTCGTGAAACTTTATAAACTTTGATGACATTTCATCGGTCGAGTTGTCAGGATTAATGAAAATCTCATTATCATCATCGACATTCGGATTGAAGAGATTTTCAATAAAATTCTCAACATTTTGTGTGCAGTTGGATGTCCTTAAATTTCGACTCGTATATTTCTTAATAAATTCTTTAAACTCTTGTTTGTTCACATAAGTGTTGTTGTCTGCACACAACTCATACAGCTCTTTGGACGAGTCTAAAATACTAGCGGGGAAAGACTTGAGATGATTATTTTCAATAAATAAACTTTTCAATTTCGGATTGAGTGCAAATGTTGTAACTTCAATCTTCTCAATTCTATTGTCATTTAAATTTATCGCCTCAATACTTTTGAGATCGTTGAATGTTTCCTTATAAACATCAGCAATATTACAGTTGGCCATAATTAAATGCTTCAATGATTCGGATTTGATAAAGGGTTTATTGAGCGGCAGCTGAATTGGATTCGATGATATTATCAACTCCTCAAATTTTCTAAATGGTGAAAATGTCGCCGGGAGCAATGCGATGATTTGATTCTCGCTTAAATCCAATCGTCTCAAGTAACCATTTCTCTTGAATGCGTCAGCAGCAATTTTGTTGATTCTATTTGCACTCAAATTGAGCTCAGCGAGAATGTCAAATCCGGTGAAATGTTGACTCTGAATTTCAGTAAAACCGCAACTCTTACATGACATCCGCTTTAGATTTTTGTTTATGAAAATTGCTCCATTTTCTTTCGGTCTGAATTTTGCATTGAAATCAATTTGAAGAAAATCTAATTCATTTTGCTTTCCCAGCAGTTCCGGTGAGTCAATGAATTCAATTGAATTGTGGCTTAAATCAATTATTTGCCAATTGTTCAATGTTTCCAATTCTTTGAGTTTCATGCTGCTTAAATTACTAAAACTTTTGTTCAACATACGCTGTTGTTCAGCTACTGCTACTTGCCATGACTCTTGTGATGATACACAACAAATGTTGTTGCCACTGTTTGAAATAATAATGATAAAAATGAATGAATGAATGAATGAATGAAAACAATGGATAGCGAGATAGAGGATGATTCACAGAGGTTGAGGAGAAAATATATTGTATGAAGGCAAAGGGTTAGAAACTGTGTTGAACTAAGCGGATATCTTGATGGGAGAGGGAACCGAATTGAACCTATTGGGTGGGTGGGGGGGGGGGGGGCGCAGGTTGAGCAGAGAGGAAGACTTGCAACATGATTGCAAATCACTGGGTTTTACAATGGTTCTCAAACTATGTGCCTCAAAATCATTTAGATGTGCCGCGAAAATTATTATGTACAAGATTTACCGTGCACCAAAAAAGTTTGAGAAACACTGGTCTAAAGGACAACAGCTTTACAATCGCAGTGCCTTCACCTAAAAAGACAGAACCCTAAATGTATTATTAGTAGCGGGACTAATGCCCGAATGAACAATGATAAAATATTAAACAGCACGTAGTTGCTCTCCCCTTATCACAAACTTTCCGAGTAATTTGATATGGCTTGCATGTGTTCTTATCTTCAGTCCGAATAAAAATAATGTTTTTTATTTTGAAACCAAAATTATGTCATGAACTTTGCAATTGTGATCTTCTGATTATGACTTTCACATTGTATGTCCAAAAAAGATTTATAATTTATTTAAATTCTACAAAATCTGCGCACTAGTCACTCAAAAACTTAACTTCCCACAACTTTTCAACTCAATTCTGTTGCCAACAAAAAAAAAGAAGAGTTCAAAAAGTAGCATAAAATCACTATTAAAACTCATCCACACGAATAGCTAACAACTCACCATTGCAGTACAGTTAGTAGTGAGAGAACTTTTATAAAAATTTCAACTTTTGCCATTTTCATTGACAATGTGAAAGCCAAAAAAGAAACTTTTTTTAAACTCCAACTTAGTTTCTGAATGGTAGAATAAATACTATCGAGTGAGAATTTTGTGCAGTTTTTTTTTCCCATTCATTCATATCTGATACCGTTTGTTATCATAGAGACGATAAGATAACATTTTGAATGATAAAGCAATTATAAGTTCGTTATATATTTTTTTTTCGATGTTATATCATCATAGAATGATCGACAATTGTGGCTTGCCTAACTTCTAGGGGAAAGAAATTTTTTTCTTTCATCATCTTCCCTCCTTTTCATTCTCAAACTTTTTCCATTCTCGTCATCGTCGTCATTCTTGGCTTTACTTTTTTCTAATCAAATTTTCTCATTTTTCGCTTATTTGAATTTTTTTTCCTCCTTTTTGGCTTTCAAGCTGAAAAATTAATTAACCAATTATTCATTTTCTTTCAAGCGTGTTTACAAACAATTTGGATGTTTCATGCATACAAATCAGCTATAAAATTTTCTTTCATTCTTGTCTCGATTTTGAGATGACTAGAATAGAAGACTTAATTAGTGGAAGAATGTCAGGATTGAATGAAGAAAAAGAAGCGCAGTTTAATGTTTGATGGAAAAATGTGCAAATTATGCAACTGGTTGACTTTGTGGTGTGAATGTATTTTTGTATAAAAGTAAGATGTTCATTGGATAAAACTGGGTTGTCGAAAAATAATACACAATCGTCAGTTTAGAAGGGCTTTAAACTAAGTACGCAAGCTAGTTTAATGTCAAAACCATTCAAATCCTTGTCGCATCAATAAATTATATCAAATGATACACCTCTGGTAGGAATAGAACCCACGTCTTTACAATAGAAGAGCTTTAGATTTTTCATCTGTTTCGTAACACGTTGGCTATAAAGATCTTAATCTCACACTGACAGATTAACCTTGTTATGACATAGATACTTTAAAAATTTATCGTTTCAGACTTCCCCCGAATAACACAAGTCGGATAATTGATCAGAAATCTAGCACCAAGCCAGTATGACTCTGGCATTGCGCTGGATTTAGACTAAAGTCCAGACACAAGTAATCTTGAGTTTATCCAAAAATAAATAGCATAATTATTTGTTTATTTATAATAAGTGGCTTATACTTTACCAATAGAATCCAGAATGCGCCTAGAAGTGTTTAAACCAAAGTTCTTATTGATGAGTTGACTGTGTTCCATCAAATTTTTCACACAAAATGATAATTGCATCAAAAGCTCGAAGTCGATAGGGTTCGAGTAGACTCGAGTTGATTAGACTCAACTCATAACCGAGTCAACTCAACTTCTCTCCAGTCAACTTAATTTTGAGTCAACTTCGAGCTCTGATTGCAATTTAAAATTCATAAAATTCACAAGATTTCGATGATAACTGCGATGATATTCGATTTAGTAATAAAACAATTGATTGATTGAGTTTAAAACAAATGGATGCAAATTTTATGGATTAAATGCCATCCATAAAGAATGTCCTATAATTAGGATAAGGGAGGCACTCGAATTTGAAATGATTCACAAAAAATTAAGTTTTCAGAAAAAAAAAAATTTGTGGCAAAGGGGGGGTCTTAAAATCTTAATTTTATGTAGCCATTAAATTACATTCTAGTGTTAAGTATATGGATCTTCAAAACCTCTTACGCATTAGTGATTGCTCAATCATAAGTATGTAGCACAAACCAGAAACTGACAAAATGAATAAAACTTTAATTTTTCATTTAAAAAGCTACAAACCAAGCATAAAAAGAAAATTTAGAGGAATCTGTTGTATAGGATAGACAGAATAATTCTGCAGAATTCTGCTCAACAGTTGCGCAACAATTCTGCAGAATTATTCTGATAAATTCTGCAGAATAATTCTGATGACAACAGAATAATTTTGAAGATTAATTCTGATGAATGTTGCGTGACATGGATGTAGCAAAAAAAAATCAACCAGAATAATTCTGAAGAACTTATTTTTATTCTGCTGAATTATTCTCCAAATTTTTTTTTTCAGAATTTCACAAACCAAACAAATCAGAAACATTTTTTTCCAAATTCTGCATAATTAAAAGTTCTGATAAATAACTTATGAGAATGTGATTATAGATTTACACTTTACTTTCACTAAAGTGGATTATCCTCGATTTCGGAATATCTACTTCAGTTTTTTGGAAATATCCCTAGACGCTTAAAGCTTTTAAGAGATCTAATGTGTGATCTAGTAAGAGTACTTTGCCACTTAAATTAACATATACTTAGAATTTTTATATCTTCATTAGTTTGAGAATTAAAACAAAAATCGAAGTTAATCGGTTATAAAAGGTCCCAGAAGAAAAGTTTGAGCCTGAAATTTTACATCTTTTGCAAAAAACAGATTTCAAACTGGTTACGGCATTGCTGAGAAAATCGCAAAATACGCTTTCTGTAAGCAAACAAACAAGCAAGTTAATCAGCAAGAAATCTCAATAACGAGACATTGTAGAGACTTCTAGTTTTTTACATTTGATCCGTGCTGCTCTATAGAAGAGCTGTATTGTTTTTGGGCAAGGTAGGAACAGCCGTTGCGTCAAAAAAAGCAAAAAACTTTCCTTTCTTACGAATTTTTTAAAACAAAAGTTCACTGTGATTTTTAAAAAAATAAACTTTGGATGAAAATTTTTTTTAAAAAACTTTTAAAGAATTTTCGTTAAGCTTTAAACCTTCAAACTTATGCTGAGCGAAGCTCAGCTGACTCGCTAGCTTTATAACTTAAAACTTTTGCTGAGCGAAGCTCAGTTGACTTATCAAACTTCATACCTCCATACTTATGCTTTTCAAATTATGGTCTATCCATAAGACTTTTGATGGTACGGTGTGAATATAACCCGCATTGGGTTTCTACCCGATACACTAGTTTTCTTTCATTTTGGTCTCTGAATTTTATACGCTTTTGTATATAATCTTTGATTAAAGTTTCAATAATGAATAATTATATCGAACTATTCAAGGCCTTAAACCGGAGAAGCAAAAGGAAAATATTTAGCAATTTCAAAAGCAATTCTTCATCAATTCTGTTTCAAACTTAGTGAAATACTGAAAAATGTTGTACTCCTATTTTAATTTCCATTTTAATTTGTAATTGTGCAAGAACTAAGTCATTAATCACATTTTCATAAAGTTATTTTCAGAACTTTTAACTATGCAGAATTTGGAAAAACATGTTTCTGATTTGGTTTGTGAAATTCTGAAAAAAAAATTTGGAGAATAATTCAGCAGAATAAAAATAAGTTCTTCAGAATTATTCTGGTTGATTTTTTTTTGTTACATCCATGTCACGCAACATTCATCAGAATTAATCTTCAGAATTATTCTGTTGTCATCAGAATTATTCTGCAGAATTAATCAGAATAATTCTGCAGAATTGTTGCGCAACTGTTGAGCAGAATTCTGCAGAATTATTCTGTCTATCCTATGCAACACACCCATTTAGAGCACAGTAAAGAAAAGAGTAAAATAGATCCCCGACAATTTAATTCCCTTCTTGCAATTCGTCTAAAATTCTCATTCTCAGAATGGAAGAGACAGAAGCGACAATGATGATGAGGGGGACACCGAAAGAAAAACAACAATTGAAAATTGAATTGACATGAAAAACAATAAAAGAAAATCTTTTTTCCATCTTTTTTTACTTTTCCGCTATCTAGAAAAGAAGATGCTAATTATTATCAGAAGTCATAAAAAAAGTTTAATTGTTTGTCATTTGGATTATTGCTTTGTTTGCATCTCATTTTTCTATTTGAATAAATTTAAAATGATTTTTTTTTCTTTTCGCTTCTCGATGAAAAAAAAGGGACCAAGGGACGACAATGATGACAATGATGATGTTGCGACAAAATTTCCTGCAGAATAATTTATTGTTTGAGGATAGATGGACAAGCGAGAAAGGTACGAAAAATTTAAATATTTTTTTTTCTCTTCGTCATCATCTTCATTATAATCGGCCTTATTTTAATTTCAAATTCCCTTGAAAAAGATTAATTAATTGTTTAATTACTTAATTAAGGAAATTGTCAAAGGAAATGCTCCAGCATATTAGCAAAATTAATTTGTGAAAGGTTCTAATTGAAAAAAAAAATTGAATTCTTGGAAGGTGTTCGAAATATTTCTTTATTAATTCATCAGAAGGACTTCTTGTAATATTTTTGTGGACCAGATATTTGGTATTGTAAGCTGGACCGACCTGAAATATTCTGAGAAGTCTTTCAAATGTCTGCTTTGAAAATTTGGGTTGTTAAAAAGGTTACACGTGTTATGACGTTATTGCTAATAAAGTTGAGAGAATATTGGAGATATTTTGTGTGGTGAGTTTCAACTGGGTCTTAAAAACTCGTAAACTCGCAGCTACTTCCTTATTTACTTCGCTGATCGTATAGATTGATTGTGATGCTAACCTTTCTCAGATTTCGCCGGAACTTGACTCTATCGATGCCTGCCGCTTGTCAATTTTCAATACTAAGTGCAACGCTTTCTCTATCAACAGCCTCTTTCCATGAGTTCTTTTGCTCTCCACGTGTTCTCTTGCTTTCCACGTGTTCTCTTGCCAAATAACTCTATTAATAATGTAGATTAGTCAATATAATTAAGTTTTGGTACAGCATTTTGGAATAAAAAATGGATTCTGTTTGCCTTAAACATTGCAGCAATTGAATGCAAAAAACACGAAGTCTTTATTTGCTTTCATTGTCGAGATCTCAGTGTACCAGCCTGCCAGTTAAAGTGAACATATAAGTTTATTTTTTTCACTTATGACGTCTGATATTAACTGTCATTTTCAAAAAAGACCAATGGATTTCTAGGAAGTTCTATTGTTCTTTTCTTACTGACCCCCCCCCGGGACGTCTGATATTAATTGTCATTTTCAAAAACGAACAATGGATTTCTAGGAAGTTCTATTGTTCTTTTCTTGTTGACCCCAGTCCCCTCCCCCCCTCCTTCCCCCGGGACGTCTCATATTAATTGTCATTTTCAAAAACGAACAATGGATTTCTAGGAAGTTCTATTGTTCTTTTCTTGTTGACTCGTTCCCACCTAAAATAGAGAATAACTTAAAAAAACATCAAAGTAAAAATAACACAAGAGTCTCAGTTCAAAACTCTTATTTTTACCTCTTTTGTCGTCTGAAAATAATCCCTTCTGAGAAAAAAAAGATTTGAATTTTTAAAATAAAATTCTTTGAAAACCTTGAGTTCAAAACCCGAATTTATTTGTCAGCAGCTGCAAACACATTTGTCTCATTTTTCTAGAATTCCAATTCAATATTTTTAAACCTTTAAAATTTATTTTAAAATGTAAGGGTTCGAATCCTCAAATTTTTCAACTTCCTTTCACACAGTTTTCTTAAAATAACGAATAATTTTTCAAAGCAGATGCAAGATCAACCTCTAAGCCCCCCCCAATTAAGAATCAAAAAGCCACCATCTGCTTGTCATAAAATAATATTTCCTAGCTGGGAATTTAAAGCAGCAATTTGTGACTTCATTTGGTTGTTTGTGTCAGCTTTTGCTACTCAACCGACATAATTTCAAGAACAATTTAAAAGAAATAAGAACCGAAAAATAAAGTTTTGTTTGCTTGAGGTAAAGTCGGACGGTGACATATGTTTCCACTTCCTTACATTGGCAAGAAAAACAACGAAAAACTGAAGGAAAAATTTATTAAAAGTCACCTGGAAATAAATTAAGTAAAATATAGGAAAAAAAAGAAGAAAGACGACAAATTATAATGTTATTTCCGTAGAAAAGTTTATTTTCTCGCCCCTCTAGGCAATTTTCATCGCTTCCACAAATGAATTTAATAAAGCACACAAAAAAGAAAAATTGCACTTAAATTTTTTTTCCTACTCTCTTCTGTGTGACTTACTTACAGAATTTATTTGAATATTTTTTTTTCTTGCCTTCCATTAATAAAAATTTAAATTAGGAAAGGAATTTTCTGATCCTCTTCTTTGTGCCTGGGCTGTTCTGCATAATATGAATGGCTTTTGGATAAGGAAAAGAATTTGTAAGACTTGAAAAAAAAAAAATTCCTCCCTTCTCGTTACATCATTAAATCTCCTCACATTCTGACCCGACAACTGAGCTTCTTGAGGCTACATTTTTTTCTGCCTTATACTTTTCCACACATGTCTGCTGTAAGATTTCTTATTGCTTTGATTTTTTTTAATGGTTGTTTTTCGAATAAGTTTTGAAGTTATCAAGGCGTGGAAACACAGGATTAATCCAGGGGTTGACACGATTTCATCTTGATGAAAATTTTCTTTATTTTATTGTTAAGATGAAATTTTTGTATGAAAAGATAAAAAAATGATGAAAAGATGAAATCGTGTCAACCCCTGGGGATTAATCCTGAAAATCCCGAAAAAATCCCTGAGCCATTAAACATGAAAATGTGAAATCCCTTTTAAATCCCTGATGCATTTGATGGAGATTTCACATTTTCATGTTTACTGGCTCAGGATTTTTTCAAGATTTTTGGGATTTTTCAGGATTAATCCAGAGTTTCCACGCCTTGGAACTTATTCATTTCTGGGCCTGTTCACATATTACCTTTAGGTAATAATAGTAAAGGGGGGGTTGGGAAAATATAAAAGATTTGAACAACAGATGTTCATTAGAAGATGTCCGTAATGTTTTGATCATTCAATGCAAACGCACGACAACAATTCAATGCACATCATAACTGAACAACTCTTTTTTTGTGCCAAATTTCACATTGTATTCTGAGTGGTTGTTGGAAGTCAATGAGTTATCTTGGCTGTTAACATACATTTTTATGATTCCGCGACTTGCTTAATATTTATTTCAGTGTTGCAAATGTAGATGTCTACACTAGATGAAGAATGTAGATTCTTCAATAGTTTTTGTCTAGCTAAGAAACTTTCTTCATAAAGATCGATTCTACATGTAGAAAGAAAAAAACCATCTACATGTAGATTGCGTCTACATGTAGAATCTGTCTACATGTAGATTCGATGTAGATGTCTATAATTCTACATTTTTTCCAGGTCTACATCAGAGAAGAATGTAGAATCGTAGACATCTACATTAAATCTACATGTAGACAGATTCTACATGTAGACACAATCTACATGTAGATGGTTTATTTCTTTCTACATGTAGAATCGATTTTATGAAGAAATTTCTGTCTCAGAATTTATCTGATCCAGACAAATAGCCAGAATGCAACACTGATTTATTTAAAATGCAAAAACACGAATGATTGACTCAAAAGTAATGAAAGTTACGTGACTTATACACTATTTTTAAAAAAATTATGGAGACAAGTTTCTTGTGAATATAGCATGTTTTAATTTATGTCCATGAATATTATTTGTCAACTTTATGCTGAGTGTGAGACAGGGTTGCAATACAGGCACCTATGCACAGGTGAGAACCGTACAATTCCTTGATAATTTATAAGGTTTTTTTCTATTAAAACTATACACATTTTAATAAAACCTCACAAATTATCAAGGAATTGTACGGTTCTCACCTGTGCACACGTGGCTGTATCGCAACCCAAGTTTAGGACTTTGGAACTACATTTAATAAGCTGGTTTTTTGATTAATCCTTGCGAGCCTAAAACCCAAGCAGCACCATTCCTTCTTACTTTATATACATTTTTAAAAACTGTTCATTGCTGTGGTTTACATTCTGACCATCTTCATTTATTCATTTAGCAATCAACATCAATTGTAATTTTTAAGCAAACCAGATTTTCCCATTTCCATTCATTCATGTCCTTTTGTTTTAGAAATGCAGTCAGAAAGAAAAAATAGAAATTCCATCCGAAGGAAATAAATGCTGAAATGTCATAAAAGGAAGGAATTTATGCCCAAAGGGGAACAGTTTAGGATATCTAGAGAAATAAAAAAAAAAGTCTGCAGAAATAGAAGAAAACTTTCAGGTTTTGGTTCCAAAACGAGAAAAAAAAATAACAATTTTATTGAAAAACTTTTTTTTTAATGTCAAAATAGTAGGTAGGAAGAACATAAAGTGAGGGAAAGACTGTAACAGATGAAAATAAATGAAATACAAATTAAATTTGAAACTTTTCATCCTGCAACGTTGAGAGCATTAAACTTTGTACGAACTGTGCCCTGTCGGCCTTTTCACATTCAAATTCCTCTTGAGAATGCTCGTTACGTTCGCTGGCATGAGACATTCTTCTTCTGTCCATCAAGAGCATTTTCTCATTTTTCACATTCTTCTTATCCGTCTCTGATTCCTCTGATGCCTTTTTAAATATCTTAGACGTACTCGATGTGGACGATGCAAATTCCAGGTGCTTCAAGACTCTTAAACGCATTGGACCGACGACATTGTGAGAGTTCAAAAAATTTATAAAATTCACATTATCTTCCTCGAATGACATTTGCGATGAATGCGTATCTCTCGATCCTAAAGATGCTATGGAATTTGAATTTGAAAATGTCAATTCATCGGACAATTTTGAGAGTGTTTCGGAAGGAATTTTTCTCATTTTTCACTCGTTTGGCAGTTTCATTAAACGTTTTTCTTCTATTCTGGCTACTATGGCAATATATCACATGGGAAATTTCATTTACATTTGACACTAGTTTGGGTTTATTTTACAAGCATAGGGACGATGATGTCTGTCTGTCTGGCAGGTTGCTAATAAATCTGACTGTTTTTAAGTCAATAAAATCTTGTTTGTGAATCGTTTTGTCTCTTGATCACTTTGACTGTCTGTTGATCAATCTTATATACCAGTGTTGTCCAAACTGTGTGCCACGGCACAATAGTATGTTGTTAAAACATTCAGGAAATGAAGTATCAAAAGTGGGCTACCACTTTGTTGTGCCGTGGCGCAAAAAAAGTTTGGACAGCACTGCAAAAGACTATTGGAATCAAAATAGTTTCAGATATGTCACGTCTAAGTTCATAAATGTATAAAAGGTAGATTCTACAGAAAAATTCAATGTTCTGCCAAAGACACAGCCATTTTTCAGATTCTAACCTAGAAAATGCGCTCAAAATTCCTAATCTGAACTTCAGACTTCACTACTAGCTTTACATAATTGCTTCTGTATTGAACTTACATTCTTTTTTTCAGTTCTGATAAGAAGCTTATCGGAAGTCACTTCATAATGCATGCACGTGCTGTCTCACGATTTTAAAGCATGTCAAAATGAACTAATAATTTTTTTTACTGTCTATTCATGTGAGCGCATAAATGCAATCACTTTACGTTTCTGTCTTATCACTTTATGGAAAATTTAGGTTTACTTGAATGACTTCAAGCTTTTTAAAATTGAACTATTAAATATTTAACAAAAATGCAATAAGCAGACAGACTGTAAATACGTTGTCGTAAATGAGAATTTCTTTCTTCACATGGAGAACGTGACATTGTTTAAGTGGAATTTATGTTAAGGCAATTAGATGTGCAGGACTGGAATCACATGCTTATTGAAATTCTTTCATGATTGAACATGATTTTTTAAGAGTTCAACGCGTATGAACGATTTATGAGTTTTCAGTGTTGATACTCAAATGTTAATGGCACCGGTTCTGTGCATTGGTACTTTATGGATTTGAACTAAATTGCAGGTTTGTGATTGGGTTATGTCCGAATATAGTGAACTTATTGATTCATTGGATCTCTTAAAAGACCCTCAATATTTGATTAAAATTTCTAATGAATATTTTTGATGTCGAGAATAAAATTTTCAATTTTTGAAGCTATTCTCACCTCGATAATCACGTTTTTCAGCCTTTTTAATAATTTTATACATTATTGATTGATTTTCGATACTGCTTGCATCCAAAACTAAATTAAAGTCTTAGTTTGTTTTTAAAAATTTCAATTAATTTCAAAGTTTCCGAAATTTCTCATTGTAAAGTTGCCTGTAGCTTGGAGTGCTATCTCATTTCTCTTTTGTATCATTGGGCGTAGCTTCCATTATAGGATTATAAAGTCAATAGAATCTTATTGGAATTAAACCACGTGTTATTTACTACAAATACTATTGAATGAGTCTTTTGTTATACAGAACTGATAATTTCTTAGTATAGTAAAGGAATGCCGACGACAGTCAATTGGGCGTCATGATTTTTGAGGTTGTTGAATGATATATGTGACTAGTTCGAGACATATTTTAAAGTTGTTACTATGGAGATTATGTTAAAGTGGAAATCTCATTGTAAGAAATCTAGTCAATTACAATTTGATCAATTTTGATCAATTTTCATCAGATCCATACCTTGTCTTGATGTGGGATCTGAGCAAAATGGAATCTGTAGTATGGAGCCATATATAGGCGAGTCTGTCATTGCAAGATTAAGGTCTCAATAGCTAAGTGGTTAGGGAACAAGCCGAATATCTGTAACCTCATAATGAAAGGACGTAAGTTCGATTCCCATAGTAAGGATTGGTCCAATCTTCACGTCTTTACACCTAGAAACCAAAAAGTTCTCAATATCTTCAAAGAACATAGAAGTTTAAGGATCAGCTATCAATTCAATGCCATTTTTTTACACAGGATTTCATTAATACCCACATATTGATGGATAAAAATTACTTTCCGTTCAAACTTCCTCTGGGAAAGAAGTCGAGTAAGAAAAAAAAGTCAGACTTACATAAAATTCAATTTATCATTTCATTGTCACAGCGTGGAGAACAGAAGAGAGGAGAAAATAAAATCAAATGAATCTTATCTCATCAAAAAGATTTCTTGTGAAATTGATAGAAGACCATGAATGAATTGAATGTAATGGTCTATAGAACAGAAAATTTATCTTCTTAGAAGTGTCTTTGTCTCACATTAATTTCCTTTCTTTTTTTTTCATTCTTTCTGTCTTCATTTTCTGTTTGTTGCTACATATTTAAGATCAATAGCTAGAAAACATTATAAATCAAGTTTCAATTCATGTTGGTCGTATTCTTCTTGTTGGTCATTTTTATGGCTTTTTGTAGAGCAAAGAATGTTAAGTAGAAGTCACTTGATGTTCTTATTAACTCACTTATGTAAGATTGCGAATTATTCATTCACATTTTTTTGCTCGAAGAATTTCTTTGGCTTTTTTCTTTTGAAGGTTTCGTCGTTGATTTTAGATTGTCGTTAAGTCTGTGAGAGGTTTTGATAATTTTATCAAAGATTGACTTACTATTTTTAATTGTGTGATGTCAGATCCATTCTGACAATATTTCATTCATAAATAAAGTAATCTTGTAGCTCTGGTTCCTAAATGTTTCTCATTTACACTTCAAATTCCTAATCCGTTCCCTAATCCAACGTTGCCCAATTGCCTAATTATGGGTTGGTCTCCTACATTAGACAGTCGAAGTATCTAATATTCGAAAAATAACAAATTTGGAAATTATTGGATTCGAACCGAAGACCTTCGAGTTACTATAAAAAATTTTAATCAAGCATCTTACCTATTCGACCAGAAAGGTACTTAATTTATTAATGTTTATGTGATAAAGGAGCTTAGTAGTACTTTTAGCCAGAAAAGGTATAATATCTTAGGTGTTGTTAAGAAGCCCATGAAGAAACCTAGCAAATAAAAAAATTGTTTAAAAAAAGAAGAGTTTAGAGATAAAAACTTTCTTTGACAATATTACTGCTATGCTTGACTCATTATGCATGCATGCTTTATTTTCTCATATGAATGTTCATTCACATGCAACATACCTATTAAAGAAGAAGGGGCTCGCCTTTCATGTAAAAATAAGATTTGTAATGTCTTAAGTAAGCATGAGCACATCCAAAGAGGCATAATTGTGTTCAGAATGGTTCAATTTGGTTTTATTGGATCTAAAAGGGTTTAAATGAGGTTCAATTGGATCCAGGAGGGTTAAACAGAGTTGAATTGAGTGAAGTAAGTTCAATTGAGGCCCAAAAAATTTAAAAATTAAGCTATTCAATTACAACATGTTGCCTTAGTATAATCAAAAGTACAAAAAAATTCATTTGAAATCATATTAATGAATCTAGTCTAAATTTTAAAATATTAATATTAATTTTTCTGGATTTTTCTAGATTTTTTCAAAGTTGAATAATCGCTATACTCACGCAAAGATCTATAAATTCCAATCAGTTAATGTAATAAAATTAAATCACATTCAACATATCTAACTGAACATCAAGAAGCGCATTCAATGACTAAAACCAGAACAAGATCCGTCCTACTTGCAATTTCATCAATCTTACTTCTATTTAACTCTTATTTTCCCTCTCATTTTTTTATTCTCTTTAAGTTGTGTGTTGCCTCTGCCGGTTGTATTATTGCTTCATTAAGAAAGCATGATTAAGATGATGATGGTTGTTGAATGGAATTTCTTTAGATGTATTTGAAATTCTTTACAGTTACTTTTTTCTCTCTTATTTCGGCTTCTTCTCTGGGGGTGTGTCAGTTTTGATGGTATTTCTTTCTTTTTTTTTCTGTTGAATTTTACCGGCAAAATGCTTTTAATATAATGAAATAAAAAAAAAAAAAATGAGAGGAAATATCGGATTGTCAGGTAGAAAAGGAATGATAAATTGAGGGGATGGATGAGTACGTACATATGTGCACACACACGTCGTAATGTGAGAGTGAAAAGTAATTTCTAGAGAAATTTAGTCCACGTGGTTTTCGTGCATGTCGAGACTGACTTTAAAAAATCGACCGCCAAAAAAAATGTCACATGGTCATCTATAAATAAGACAGTGACGCATATTTAAAACGACTTTTTCTTTCGAGACGCAGAATGTTATCATTAATGACATTTATACAAAGTATCAACAATCTTGAGAGCATATCCGAGCTGCAAATTCCGGGGAATTTCAAAAACAGTCTTGAATGTGCTGTTTAGATACTTCATCTTTAGCGACTACATTGCACTGCTCGGAATCAACATAATTATTTTAATAATTTATTTTTTCTGTGTGAATGTTCGCCAGCAGAGATTAATGATTGTCAATATGAAAGCATAAACGAGTCAATAAAAATTTTCAGCTTCGTTCTTTTCCCATCAACATGAACGACTTTTTTTTAATTAACTGAAGCTATTGATTTTCTTCTTAAAAGAGTAATAAAAAGTAAATTTTTTTATAGTCGCAATTTCGAGTTCCAGTTTTGACGAGATTTTTTTTTCGTTTCATTCATCTTCTTCGGTGTTGATTAATTTAATTCCTCAGACTTTGCTGAGTCAAGCAAAAAAAAAAAATTACATTGGCAAAAAAATTATTAATTATATCGCTTTATAAGTCATTAATTACAGCTTCAGACACTATTAAATGCGACGTAAATTATTATAATTGTAGTTTTTTGCAATATGATGTCAGGATTTCATGATTTTTTTATGACTCATTGCACAGGAATTAAATTTCCGTTGGACTAGAAATAAAAAAATTATTCAACGGATTTTTTCGGCATTTCATAGACACATGCACGTGCTTTTCTACTGGTGCAATCATAGAGCAAGTTACATCAGACGATGTAATGTACGATGGCATTAAAGTATACAAGCACAATTTATCTATTTTTTTCTCCGCTCGACACAAACACATGCAATCAGACCAAAAACGTTACATTAATGCATTACAACGTACTTATACAAAATAAAAGTCCCATAATGATATTATGCTCGATTTTTATTTTTCGAAAAAATGATCGTACGATGTTCTTAAATGATACGATTGGTATCGTTAAAATAATGGTGCGGCATCGTGTGACTCTCTCACATGAGAAACTGTTGGGAAAGTTTTACATCGTAATGATAGAAAAAAGTGCAATTTTGAAATGAATTGAGTTTGATGTTGTGAGATGAAAATAATGTGTGGAAATTTTTCAACTTTTCCAGACTTTTCTTTGGCTTTAATTGCTATTGCTATGGTTTATTAGCGGCTGAATGTAATTTTTCTAGAAATAAGTCACGATTTTTTTGATGTTGTTCTGATTTCTGAGAGTTTATAAATTGAGTTTAGCATTGATTTTTAAGTTCCTCTATGGGGGATAATATGCAAAGCTTTTGACATCCATTAAAAATGGAATCCCCACCCTCTTGTCTCTGGGGAATTAGAGAAGCCGAAATCTGATTCCGTAGCTGACCAAATGTCAAGTGTAAACCTTCTCGTGGTGGGCTGGGATACCGCTAAATACACTAATGGCGAACGAGCCCTGTGCTGGGATGTGTACTTGAAAGGAAAGATTAAAATCATATCCAACCAACCTTGCCTGGAGGGTAGTAGCCCCACAATCAAGCTACTAGGAATAGTGAGGTTTACAACCTATTATTTTCGAAATCAACTTGTACAAAGAAAGCAAAATAAGGTAAACAGGACTGCACCCTCTAGTCTCTATTAGAAAATTTCCATCCAAAAATAAAAATTTTGAATTTTTCACAAATCTTAGGTTTTCTCATCGATAAGTGATGAACATCATTAATGAATGTGCTCAAATGTCATAGAGACCTGTTAAGTCATTTGTAAGAAAACCTGTAAATATGAGAGTAAGACCTTTGAGCATTACTTATACAACAGATCAGCGACCATATCATTTGTGAGAAAGTAAATTGAATTTCTACCAAAGGTCGAACTCTCACGGCCTGTTTCACTAAAGTGGATTATCCTCGATTTTGGATTATCCACTTCAGTTTTTTGGAAATATCTCCAGACGCTTAAGGTTATTAAGAAATCTAATGTGTGATCTAGTTAGAGTATTTTGCTACTTAAATTAACATAAACTTAGAATTTTTATATCTTCACTAGTTTGAGAATTATAGCAAAGATCGAAGATAATCTACTAGATTTGGCTAGAAAATTGAATAATTAATACTTCTTAACGAAAAGTAAAAGTTTAAAGTGTACAGAAATTTCAGGCATACTTCACTTTATTATAATCCAAAATTAGAAATACCACACCTCCCATAAAGTTTAAGATATTTACAAAAAACTGAAGTGGATAATCCGAAATCGAGGATAATCCACTTTAGTGAAACAGGCCGTCAATGATTACATATGACACTATTAAGATGAAATAGCACAAATATGCAACAAAATAGTAGCTATTAACATCACAAAGTCTTAAAAGTCTCTTAAATTAATTTCAGGAGTGTTCTGTACTAGAATCGAAAAGCAATGCACAACACTCTAGAGTTGAGACGTCTCATGAAAATTGATCATTCCAGAGAAAACGACTTCCAGAAGCAAAGTACATACATTAATACATCTCTGGCTTTACAGATCAATTGTGATCCATAGCCTTCCTTAGTTGACGTCTGAAAAAGACTCTGTCGCTGGCTATGCTCTGCCAATCGCCAATACCAAATGCTATGCTTTCTCTGTCAACAGCTTCATTGTCAGAGGCAAAGTAAGGTACATAAAACAACTAGAGCCTTGACGCCTTTCATACAAAAGCAGAAATCTCGTCTTGATAAGAATTCTTCTATTGACACTTAATTCAATGATTTTTCAACCTTAATTTCGAAAATAATATGATTTTTCCGGTAAAGATAGCAATCCTACACACCAAATTAACTAAACTGACCTAAATAATTTATTTGTACAAATCCATGACTAAGTTTGACACCACAAAAAGCAATAAATCAACCCATATGTGAGTTAATTAAAAAATTAAATTTATTGATACTTTAGATAAACAATCAAAATCGTCACCAACACTTGACAAAGATCCAAAAATCCCTCTAATACTCCAACATTTATTCTCTTTTCCTAGAAAATAAAATTTCAGTAATAAAATAATGATAAGCAAAGCTCACCGACATGATTATTACAATGATTTAATACACTTACTTTAGAGTAGGAAATTCCGTAGCACGTGCAAGTTTAAATGAACTAAAATATTCATTGTAAAGTCAGACGAAGTGTGTTGAAGTTTTTTTTAATCGCAAGGCTTTGTGTTTCAAGACTAATTTAAGGTTAAAAGTCGATGTTGGTGAGTGCACGTTTCTAGTTTAATTTGGCGAGAAATTGAGAAAATAAAGTTTGAGATTTTTTGAGTGAGAAATTGAAGATTATTTTATGTTGGGGAGTGAAATTGAGCTTTATGGAAATTGTGGAATGAAGAATTGTGTCATTGTCAACTGTGACTGCATGCTTAATTTAAGAATGATTTCTGAGATAAGCTAGATCAGGATAGTAAGTAAAGCTAGTCTTCCAGTGCAAAAATACGATTTGAAGCAACTAAACTGAAATGAGGAATATGATTTTGAAAAGATGTGTGTTTGATTCCTATCAGATTCTGATCATGCAATTTCATACAATTTGACGAGGACTTGCAGCAATATTCACGGCACTAAACCGGTGTAAAGTCACTTAACAGATAAACTATCTTTGCTTCTAGAGATGGAAGCTTCAATAGCTGCATATCGTATTTCTTGTGAATCCAATTGAATCTCAATATTTTCTAAAAACTCATTATAAAAGCTCATATGTGCGATTTTGATTTTTCAGAAGCTACATAAAAGAATTAAATGATTGATTTTTTCCCGCCAAATTACTAGTGCCTATACTAACCAGACTTTACATCCAATTAAGTACTACAAAAACAAGTTCATATCGCCTGACTTGATGAAATTCCAGGAAATTCTTTTCAGCTGCAATTTAGTTCATCACTCAAAATAAAAGGTAAGAGCGGGAAAAAAATGATGAACAAAATTTTTAAATCAAGTCTGTATACAAAGCACATGTGAATAGAGTAAGCTAGAAATCCCAAACCGCAATCTACCAAACCGAAAATGGAAGAAGAAGAACAAGAGAGAAAAAAAAATAAAAATTCAGAAGCAGAAAAAAGTAAGATAAAAGAAAAGAAAGTAAAACGTGAGGGATGTAACGTGTGTTATATATAAATTGATGCAATGTGCTTAACAAATGATGAATACATGCTTAAAGTCATGTCGCGCTTTTATGAAAAATGCTGAAGAGAAGACAAGGCATTACACGCGATGCAACACGTTCTGCATTTACATCGTAGACTGATAACAGCGAGCAAAAGTAACATTAGCGGAAGAAGAATCAGACCACACATTGCATAATGATGACTCACAATCTATGCATGTATAATGTTGATGATGATTCCACTTGTATGTATGTATATGGTATTGCATTGTTGCTATTAGCGTCTAGAATCGATAGAATGTCACACACGTGTTTCTTTTTGAAGATTTACATTTATTATCTATCTTTGATCTTCTCCTATACGCTTCTTAAATCTTCCGTCTTTATTCTACATTCACTCCATTTAACTTCCACATACTTCATCTATTTTACTTACTTTACGCCCGGTGTGTTGATGTTTTACTTTTTTTATTTTGTCACTGTGGGAATCGTCTCTGTTGTATTTATTTCATACACATGTAAGGTACTCTACAAAACACAAGAAAAAATTGAGTACGAGAGAGATATCCCATAAGTACGTTAAAGCATGATATTTTTTTTTACTATTTTTTTTCCTTCACTTCAATCGTCTATAAATTGAATGAGCATTTCTACTTTGATGCTCAATTTTTTCAATTCATTCATAAACATCACACACAATATATTCTTTCTTCTCCTTTCTTGTTTGTCGCATATATACGGTTTTTCATACATATCGTATTCGTATATACATGTAGTGTGTCTGCCTCTCTATACTGTATGCTTAAAAGAAAAGAAAAGAAGTGCGTGTATAAAGTGAGTGAGAAGTGACGAAGCGTACGCAGTTCTTATAGAAAATTCAACGTGTAAAGTGATAACCGAAATTTTAAATCAGGGATTTTTTTCTTCTATTTGAAAAAAAAAATAAAAAAAAAAATAATAAAGAAAATTTATTAAAAATAGACACAGGAAATAAAAAAAAATATTAAAAATATTCTTTAATAAAAAATAAATAAGAGACATACATAATGTGGCGATCATACCTTGAAATATTATTTGTGACGATAGCTGTGTCATTACTAATGTCACAAATCGTAGCTAATCCAGTGAATGTGAGTGAAAAATAATAATTGCATAAAATTATGAAATTAAAAAAAAAATGTAATTTTCTCATCATAAAATAGATGCAATCATCAGAAGTGACAACAGAAACGACGACAGCATCGATAATTGATAAACTTGCAAGCACAACAGTTGCACCAAAGTGCATAGTTAATTCTCAGCCATGCGGATGGGGTGTCTTTTCAAAGAATCGAAAAAAGATTGATTATTTCATTAAAAATACATGCAAATGCGCATCATCACAAAAGTGTCTGCTTGACGGTGAGGACCTAAGTCTTGGAGCATATGTGTATCGGTGTAAAGAGCGGACAGCAACGGCTTGACATCCACAATAGTTTCCGATTATCGAATAGTCTTTAAGCACCTTCTAGATTTTAGTATATATATTTTTTTCTTTTGACATCGTGTGTGGAAATTGAACCTTAAGACTTAATTTTTAATTTATTTTTGTGGACGAAGAAAAAATTGAAAAGGCAAAAAAGGAAGGAATCAAACCTTTTTTTATAGTTGATGATAAATATTAGGAAAAACTAGTGTGTACAATTTTATTATTTCTAGTAGTTTACTCTTATTAGACTTTAGTGTGCAACTCAATCAGGACGGGAAGTTTTTCTCATTTTAAATTAAGGATGATGAAAATTTTTATTTTGATGAAAATTGAAAGATTTTTTAATTTTAAATATTACGAAATATTCAATGGTGAAGAAATTTTTGAGTGGGGTTGATGCAGTTGGACTTTATATTTTTAATTCATAAGGTTTTTGGACTATTGAATGTGACTTGAGGAATTCCCAGATTTGCTGATAAGAATGTGAACAGTTATTTTTAACTTGGGGTTTATTATTTAATTCTTTGAGGTTTTATGGGATCTTTTTTGAGGACTAAGGCTCTAAGATTTAATTTTGAGGTTTATTAATTCGAAACTTATCAATTTGGATTTTTTTGGTCATTTTGATGAGTTAAGAATCTTAAAAAATCTTTAAAATTTCAACATAATCTTATCATTTAAAATTAAATTATGAATTTAAAATTAAAACTTTCATTAAAAAAATTAACAAGATGCTGAAATATTTTTCCCGCGGAAATTTCGTTCGAAAACTTATTTTAAAATTCAATCAAAATCCAGTGAATCATAACTTTAAAGAAAACTATTGAAAATCAGAACTCTTAAACAATAATGAATCTCAATATCCAACTACTTATCCCAAACAGTCTAAGATTCCCAATAAAAATTGTCAGGATGCCAAAAACCAAGTCCCAATCTCGAATTCAAAACTACAACGCAATTTTTTCCCAAAAACCGGATGCGAAATCCATCTCAAAATTTATTTAAATAGACAAAATTCTCACTTCCATTTTTTTTCGTATTCTAAAGGTCCAAAGGTTACCCAAAAAAGATCTACGTCGAAATGATAAAGAGAAATTCCTCGAGACACAAAAAAAAGAATCATTTTTGAGTAGGAAATAAAAAATTTAGTTGCATCAATTTTCTCAAATAAAACAAATTACCGTATTGACATAATAATATTTTAACTTACATCTACAGTCAGTCTTTGAGTATTTTAAAAAAAAATCATAGAGATGTCCCAATGTATTGTCAGTTACAATATTATTAAATCAATGTACAGAGTCACTTGACTGTATGACTTTTAAATTGATGAAAAAATGAAGTCGCTCTCGTGATTTGTTGGAGCAATGGAAATAAAGCTTTAAAAACATTTTTTTTGCATTATTTAAGGCATTGTGTACTAGAATTGAAAAAATTTATATGAAAAGAAAAGATGATAAAAATTGAAAAATGTGGAAAATAAAATGTCCTTGAGATCATGACAAGTTTTTGATGGAATTTGCGTAACACCTAACTTTGGACTTTTTTTTTTAATTTTTTTGGATTTTTGCTTCTTGCAGGTTATTCAGCAGACTGTAGTTCCGGGTGTTTTTGCGATTGTCTATTACATTTTTTTCCAGTAAAATTATTTTTTCAGTTCTGCTATGCAAGTGAGGTAAGGTAATTTCATTGCACAAAGATTCTTGACCTAGAAGTTTGAAACATGAATACAAAAAGATCCAGCATCGAAAAAACGAGGCAAATCAAAAGCATTTTAATATTTATCAACAGCAATAGTTGGTCAGATGGTCTAGTGTTGTCCAAACTTTTTGAGTCACTGCACACCTTAAAGGTAAGGCAAGATCAAAGTCTCATGCGGCTCGTGCCATTTTCATAAAATTTCTGCGGCATATAGTTTAGACATAATTGAGCTATTCTAAGAAGTTAAAACAATTTTTATAATAGTAATTTTAAAGGCGACCAGATAAGAGTCGTGCAATGATGGTACAAAGGATGCTTATAAGATCAGCCTTCACTGTATGAACAACAGCTATGAATTTACTCAAACAATGACATTCACAGACATATCCTCAACTTGAATTGATTCTTCTTGATTAGGTTCAATCTAAGTAGATTTTTCTATAACAAAAGATCAAGTCAAATTGAAGACACCTTGTGCATTAGAACATTTACAGAGAATCTCAGAAATTCCAACAAAGTGAATTAATTATCTAGCATTTCCGGGATTTTGAGAACAATTGGTACATAGGATAATTGTCTTCACCATTGCATTTCGCAAAAATGACAATTCAACCCCCCCACACCCCTGTTACGAATTTTGTATGAAATATTTATTCCTATGTTTGAGCTGTTCCAAAATCCTAGACCCTCCATCCCACTATGGGCCAGAAATGGAAAATTTTTCCAAAAATTATTTCTACAGCTTATATGATAGTCCTTATTCTGTCCTACATTTACGTCCTTAAAACTTTGCCTAAGTCGACAGCATGTCCGAGATATGGCACTTCAAAGTTGGTCAGACGACCATTTTCACGTTACATTGAAAATGCTCTCACCAGTCACTGGATGGATGAATCTCCTTCAATTTTTTTTTGGTAATAGCTTTAAATAGTTCCTTCATTTTAAGGTATAAACAATTGCAAAAAACTTTGGAAAATTTTGTGAAAAACTTGATTTTTCTCAAAAACCACGTGTTCGTCATACTTCCGTTTGTGTAGGTCTTCACAAGCACAACCAAAGTTACTAATTTCTTTTTTATATTAAAGATTACATCAAAAGCTATAACTTTTGCATACATGTCGTATAATTTTAACAAAGTTTTGGTAGTGAAAAAAATTTTTTTTATAAAAAAAACACCAATTTTTTGACAAAAATCGCTGTAGTGCTCCAGGGATACCCATGGTAGTGGAATTTTATTTCACATTTAGAAAGCTCTCTGGATATGCTATCAATTAATGCAGTAAAATGAACAAGTGTTCTCTTGGCAAAGAGCACTTTTTTGACTCTGAAAGTCGTATGTCGAGCAAGGTCAAAAAAGAAAAATAATCATAAAAATTTCAGTTTTAAGTAAAATTTAATTTTTTTAAGTTAGATTGATAGATCTTTTTAAAACGCGTCTTTTGAGTATAAATATGTCATAGTTTTGTCAAGTTTCATGATCAGTTTTTTAAAAAAATAGTTTTTTTCAAAAAAAAACTTGAAAAATAAAGTATTTGACTTTAGAATTTCATAAAATGCATTCTTTTTAACATTTTTTTCACTATTTTGTCTAGTTTTGCTCCTCGTTTTTTCCTAAACATAAATCAATAAGAACTTAACATAATTGAAGCCATTTGGAGGTTAAATTGAGTTAAAAATCGTTTAAAATTTTTGTATTTCTTAAATAGTTCTTTACACAAGTATCTAAGATATAAAGTGTTGCATAGTTTTGAAAAGGTATTAAAATTTCCAATATGTTAACATGAAAATTTTAGGAAAATTTTCAAGTAATATAGTCAATTTGGGTAAAAAACGCATTTTATATATGCTAGTTTTTAATGTTTTTCGTTTTTCTCAGCAAAGACTTTATGAAAAACTCTCAAAGTTTGCACACTTATTTGTTATATAAATGTTAATGACTCGTATAAGTTTTGGAATTTTCTATTGAGTTTTTCATGAGTTCTCCAAATCTGAAATTTTCAATATTAAAAATCCTTTTTTCTCAATAATTCCGATTTTTTATTTATAAATAAATATCTTATTTTGTTTCATTTTTCAATATCTTTTCATTGATATGTAACAATCTACGAAAAAAATAAGACTAGCGAGAAATCAATAAAAAAAGTGTCAAAAATTTATGAAAATTCTACGCTATTTTAATTTTTTAGCATTTTCTGGTTAATTTTATTAAGTTTTGTAAGAGTGTTATACCTTTTTGCAAATTTATAGCTTAAGACTTTCATCTGCTTTCATCCATTAAAATTCGTATGAGTCAACGATAAGCACAACTGAAGTTAAATAAGCTTCACGTTGGCGCAACCAAAAATTTTGAATTTTTTAAAATCAAATTATTTAAAAGCTTTAAATTAAATCTTCAGGCTGCTATTAAATACATGAAACATTTATAACAAAACTAAATGAAAAAGTTTAATATTATAGCTCAAATAGTATTAAAATTAATATCTGGTTTTCTTCATATGGAACTGTCTTTTGTCGCCAACGTGAAGCTTATTTAACTTCAGTTGTGCTTATCGTTGACTCATACGAATTTTAGTGGATGAAAGCAGATGAAAGTCTTAAGCTATAAATTTGCAAAAAGGTATAATACTCTTACAAAACTTAATAAAATTAACCAGAAAATGCTAAAAAATTAAAATAGCGTAGAATTTTCATAAATTTTTGACACTTTTTTTATTGATTTCTCGCTAGTCTTATTTTTTTCGTAGATTGTTACATATCAATGAAAAGATATTGAAAAATGAAACAAAATAAGATATTTATTTATAAATAAAAAATCGGAATTATTGAGAAAAAAGGATTTTTAATATTGAAAATTTCAGATTTGGAGAACTCATGAAAAACTCAATAGAAAATTCCAAAACTTATACGAGTCATTAACATTTATATAACAAATAAGTGTGCAAACTTTGAGAGTTTTTCATAAAGTCTTTGCTGAGAAAAACGAAAAACATTAAAAACTAGCATATATAAAATGCGTTTTTTACCCAAATTGACTATATTACTTGAAAATTTTCCTAAAATTTTCATGTTAACATATTGGAAATTTTAATACCTTTTCAAAACTATGCAACACTTTATATCTTAGATACTTGTGTAAAGAACTATTTAAGAAATACAAAAATTTTAAACGATTTTTAACTCAATTTAACCTCCAAATGGCTTCAATTATGTTAAGTTCTTATTGATTTATGTTTACGAAAAAACGAGGAGCAAAACTAGACAAAATAGTGAAAAAAATGTTAAAAAGAATGCATTTTATGAAATTCTAAAGTCAAATACTTTATTTTTCAAGTTTTTTTTTGAAAAAAACTATTTTTTTAAAAAACTGATCATGAAACTTGACAAAACTATGACATATTTATACTCAAAAGACGCGTTTTAAAAAGATCTATCAATCTAACTTAAAAAAATTAAATTTTACTTAAAACTGAAATTTTTATGATTATTTTTCTTTTTTGACCTTGCTCGACATACGACTTTCAGAGTCAAAAAAGTGCTCTTTGCCAAGAGAACA